ATGATTTTTAATTCAATTCAGCGAAAGTACGCTCCTGATTTCAACTTTGCTCCTGCAGCATGGAGTAACTTAAGAATAACTTAGATTAACTAACTCACACACTTATTTAACAGCTGACAAAATGTTTTTATTCCTTTTAAATATCAAAAGGTTAACATGGGAAACCACAGAGCCACTGGGGTGGAGCCTGAAAAGATCATTTCGATTAGAATATTCCTATATGTTAATCGGGGATGTGAGCTATCATTATGCCAAATTTCATCCCAATCCGACCAGTAGTTAATGCGTCATCGAATACCAAACAAACAAAGAAACAAACAAACAAACACACATTTAAAATATTAGTATGATATAATTTTAGTATTATAAAATTGACTTGAAGACATATCATTATATAGATTCAAATGAATTGACCAAATAACGTTGTGGGGATCTGTAAGAAAACAAATTATAGAAAAGGGTTTTGTGTTAATTTCTACACTGACTTTTCAACTCCACTTACAATTGATTTAACAGTAAGATAAGTTTAAAACAGTTTTTTATATTACTTTATTGCCCAACCAAGTATAACCACTTATCTTATGATTATGCTAATAATTGTCTCCGTTTTAAAAAGATTAATAGTCTAACACACGCCTTTTTATAATAAATATTTAGTAGGCCTATAATATAATTTTGGTTGTTATTTTAGATTAAATAACTGAAAAAAAACTTTTACTTTGGAATACTTTGTATAATATATTTTTGGTACTGTAGTTTAATATGTATTATTTGAAAGGTTTCTTGTGATACATTTGGTGTTATATCTTTTTAAGAACTCCTGGAATTATGCATTAATTCAACCATATCTAATTTCATACAAACTATAGCCATTGGTACAGTTTCAAATTATGTATGAATTTAGTTGGGTTTTTAAAGGATTTGATATTTTTTTTCAAAACGTTGAACATTAGAGTTCCTGTAGTTATTGGTCCCAGGTCGGGTAGATAAACTCACATCATATGTGAAGCTCTGGTCAATAACCCACATTACAATAAACTATCAGGTGTATCAGAACCGTTACAGGAAGTGACAACGTCAACATGGCGGGAATATCGAGTCGCAATAGGTACTTCCGGTTCCTCCCTCAACTACAATGCAGGTAGATGGAATTGTATTAAATGTATAAATGAAAAATATTCTGGAACTCTCCCCGGTTGTCTGGGTAGGGTGAAATTATGATTGTTAGCTCAATTCCGATAAAAATCTGCAATCTACTTCATTTTGAAGTCTTACCAGCAGAACCATGAATTTATTGTGTGTTAGTAGTAAAAGAAAATATTCAAAACAATCAAATACCAAAAAACACTTTATTACAACCACCAATACATTTTTATTGATAAAAAAATTGAAGGAGAAAATATTAATAATGTCCTTGGATTTTAGTTTTGGAATTAAATCACAGCCACCTCTAATACATGTATTAGAGGGTGATCTGTAGGCTACGGCCACACGGGCGTTTTTTTCACGCAAGAACGCAGCGTGAAAAAAACGCAAGAAATAGGAGCAGCATTAAATGTAATGAGGTATGCCACACGCAGTGTGTTTTCCCGCATTAGCGGTCGCCTATTTGTTTCGTTGCTACTCTAATTTTTCGCGTGTTTTCACGCTGCGGATGTGCGTGAAAAAAACGCCCGTGTGGCCGTAGCTTAGAGGTGGCTCTTGATTAAATACGTGCGAGTCAGACATTGATAGTGCGTATTGTGCGGTTTTAGAAATTTTACCTATAAGGAAGTAGCTATTACCGTAGGTGGTATGATAAGACCTAGCTAGGCTCGGGCCAATTTACTTTTTATTTTGAAGTCCCCAGAAACCAATATATGTGTCCATGAACGCTATAGCTCGAGTAATTATTGTTCGATCATGATAGAATTTGGTTTAAAGGTGTAAGGCAGGATAAACTTGAATGAGTTTGCAAACCAGCGTGATCGGACTATGGGAACGGGGTTTTACGGGGTGTTTTGTTTTGTGGGGTAAAAAGTTTTTCCACACTTTTGACCCTCAAAACTCCAAAATTCCCGATTTCCCTCTAGACATTTTTAAAGAGCTTAAAAAAACAAATAATTTAGTATGTCAAAGTGTTTTGGTTCGGTTATTGTTAACGGAGAAAATTAAAAAAAAAATTAAATTTAAAATTCCCATGTCATTTTTATGGAGAATATTGTAAATGTTGTAGTTTGCTTGTTTATGGATATATTTTGATCATGTTAGAAAATGTATTTATTTTATACTAAGCCATTAATATTTTACTAAGCACTACACTTCATTTCCTTGTAGCAGCAAATCTAGGTACTCGTCAAACCTAATGTTATTTAAATAGATTTCATTGAAAATCAATTCAGACAAATGGAAATTCACTTAGTCGCCAGGTTTGCTGCAGTGGGGGTGTTATTTTTAAGAAGCTACATATGAATCTGGTGCACACTCACAAAAGAACACATGGCAGGATTATACACATTATTAGGGTATGAAATATCAATTCATATAACTTACTTCTCCGAACCAAAGACCACAGAATAAGTAGTAGAGTGCCTACTCTTTACTTTGTGCATAGAGCTTGAATATCGTAGAATCGTTTTCTAACTTTCATATTATCAGTTTTAGGAAAAATCTTAGTTTTATCACTATGTTTTCAGTTGTTTTAATTAGATAATCGTAAGTTACTTACAATAGGAAAATGTGTACTGGAGTGAATTGAAGTGTAAACGTATAAATTACAGGCCAACAGTAGTACCATAGATAAACATATGTTTTATCTATGGTGGTACCTACTGAAGACTCATTAAGAGTCTTAAAACTATAATTTATGTTGCATCGTATAACCGTCTTTTTACCATTTTATAATAATTAGTTTGTTGATATTTTTTTATGACTTTTATAATTTATTATTTTTCTGAATATGTCAGCAACGATATTCACGATAACAATAAAGAAGATTTTGTTCAAAAGTAAATTGAGCTCTAAAACGAAACTGGCAGTGATAAATAAATACTTAAGCAAAACTACTTAAGTAAGACCACCTTTCCTAGATCCTAATGAGTTTTTAAATCCAACTATATTATAGTTAACAAGAGAAACTTTTATACATTCTTGTTTAACTGTTTTTATAACTATATTTATAACTCGAGTACATATAATGTTTAACTATGTTACTAGTTACATCTAAATATTTTTGAAAAAAATATTTAAATTCAATAAAAACTTTTGAAAGTGAAATATAAAAAACTTCAATATTATGGTAAAATATTTTTCGTAATAGCGTAGACTGCAGTAATATTTATATTTCGATAAATAATTAATTTATTGGTAAACGAATCGTTGGAAACCACACTGTTTCGAACTAGTTCTCTTTATTTGAAGGTTCTCAAAATAAATATAAAAATATAATCTCTTTGTGGTGGTGTTCTTTCAAAAATGATTTAAAGCCACAGCTGTCTATTGGAGAGTGTCCACACGTACAACAGCTCTCCTGCAAATTGCTTAACTGCATCCTGATAATGTAATGCCTCTCAATGCATATTATGTGTCATCAGTGTATTCAAAAGCAATAGATAATTTAAATGTTTATAATCTGTATATTTTTAAATGGTAGCTTTGAAATACATTGACATTTAATAGACCTCAAACACAAGTAAAGAGAGATCTATAATAAAAACATAGTAACTCAAAAACTGCCTATAACGGAGTAAACTGGTCAACGATGCAATCTGTCGCTACTGACACTGCAAATATCAGTTTATGTTATTCACATGACTTCGTTGTTTTTAACACAGTCTGTATAGTTTTCCACGTTTTAGCGAATTTCTCCATAGTGAAGGAGAGGAATTTAAAGGTTATTATAATCTGGCCTCTAATTTGTTTAAAATTATAAATAAGATAAAATTATAATAATATATAATACCTGTTTACGGAAACATTTTAGTAAAAATCTAATCACAGGAATGGAAATTCGATTAGTCTGTAGGTTTGCTGCAGCAGGGGTACTATTGTTTGCACTGCAACGACAACATATTATTTGTTCTTAGTCTGAAAAAGGTGCCATGTAAATGGCAGTGGTAACAATGTAAAGTGACAGGCATATTTTTAATTGATAACTTTTCTCTGATTAATTTTTCTTGTTATAAAATTTTTAAAACTATATCCTACTAATATTATAAATGAGAAAGTTTAGATGTATGGATGTATGGATGTATGGATGTATGTTTGTGACAAGTGAACGCGAAAAATACTGGTCGGATTGGACTGAAATTTGGCATGATGATAGCTCACATTCCCGATTAACATATAGGCATATTCTTATTTCAAAAATCCTTTCGGGCTCCGCCCCAGTGGCTCTGGAGTTTCCCATGTTAACCTTATGAGAAATGGAATTATTGAATCTTAACAGCTGTTTCAATTAAACAAGTTGGTTCTGTTCTGTGATGTTCAATAGCATTAAAGTTACAAGGATTACCAACAGGGTGCAGCACTATTATTTCTTTTACATTTATGACGACAGCTAATTTGCAACCAAAAGGTGAGTGAGCGTAGCGAACGAACTTCAACCTGGAGGCGAGTTAGCGTAGCGAACGAGCTAACCTGAAGGCAAGTGAGCGCAGCGAACGAGCTCCAACCTAACGGTGAGTGAGCGTAGCGAACGAGCTCCAACCCAAAGGTGAGTGAGCGTAGCGAACAAACTTCAACCAGGACGTGATTGAGCCATGCGAACGAGATAATCTTGAAAATTAAGAAGTTAAACGGGGCAAAGCCCGCGGGTTACAGCTAGTGTGGAAATAAAACAGTTGGAAGACGTACTAAATTGCAAGTTTTTCTACTGTCCCTTCCCTACATGCATTATTCTAGTTACAGTTATTTCCACTACCAAGTAACGGATAAACAAACCAGCTGTTGATCTGGTTGCCAAGGATAGGTTAGTTGTTTACTCGAAAGCGTAGTTAAGGGGTTAGTAGTTTGTGTTTGTATGCCATTTTATGTTTAATGGGTTTAAACCGGCTTATATCGTAGACAAAAGTTACACATTAGTTTGCGTTGTATCATGAGGACCCTATACTTTTTGGAGCCCGGGCAAAAACTCAACGACACAAAACCCTCTGAGAGAAAACGAGCTTTACTGGTTAGTAAGCAAGAATGGGACAAATTTGGAGACCACTTGGTGAGGAAACACAGAATAGCAGAGGAGAAGGAGCGGGAGAAAGAAGACCTAGAGAATAGAAAAATGGCGTCAAAGGAAATGGCTAAAACCTGGGACAATACCATAATTGTAAGTATTTTATCATTTGCATGTTTTCTTATAACTGCAGAAACTTATAGGGAGGTATATAAGTAGGCCTACAAATACTTTGGCCCAGGTATATTGGTACTTATAAATTTGTTTTTTGTTTTGTCCTACTAAAATAAGTGGCAAAATGAAAAGTTTAAAACTATTGGATTAACAACTGGCCCTATGATTACTACTACAGTAGTCCGTTTCTCAGACAGTTTCTCACAAAAGTGTCTAGTAAATGACAAACTTTCTGTACAACGGTAGACACATTTTATGTAGTGTAGATGTATTATTTATTTATAAACGTAATCTTTTTACGATTTACGAGGAAACAATACAACTTTAATAAAACTAATTCTCTCTCTGTTACTTATGACTTTTTAAGAGTTGTAATATAACTCACAGATTTTAGAATCAATTTAACGCAGTAAATTTTGTGCATTGAATAGCTTATTGACAAAAACATAATTGTTTGTGAGGATTATTTATGGGTTTCACTCACATTTATTTTCACCGACGTTTCGTGGAACTCACGAGAAACGTTGTGCTTCCTCAGGGTTGTAAAAGACTATTTTTTTGGTCGTGGTTAGGCGTTCGACCAGCGTGCGGGCTATGGACGATTACGTGCTTTGTGTATGAGTGTTTGTGTGTGTTTGACGAGTCCTGGACATCACAGACAAAAATAAAGGCGAGTGAAGCCCACAATTAATCTTCATAAATGAATAACACCTCGCCTAAAAGAATGTAATTTAGAAATAAAAATAATCAAACTGTAAATACATTGTAGGAATACCTTCCGGATTTATCATTGCTATTATGTTAATAAAAAAGTAATTCAATTCAAACACAATATATATTTACAGCCTGACCTTATATTGGTACAGAAGAATCAACGTTTTATAAAGTGTTACATTTCCCTAAACACATACTACTGAATAAATTTGAAAACTAGCGTACTTGCAACTTTCTGCTCAGTGTCAACGTGGTGTCAACATACGAAAAACAGAACATTCACGAGTAGACAAATATTATTCAAACGGAGTTATACTTGTATTTTGAAAACAATCTATACTTATTTAATACGCAAGCAGGTTTTTGTGACAATTACCTACTTCTCCGAAACGGTTGAACCGATTGACATGTTTTTGGTGTCATTGGAAAGGGCGTAGCGTGAAGTTGTGCAGGAAACTTTTTCTTTTTAAGAAAATAATTACAGAGGGAGGCCCTTGGGCCTTTTTTTAAGTTTCGTATTTTTATACGTTTTATACGTTTTACACGTATTCGTAAGATTAACATGAGAAACAAACATTGTTATGAAACTCCAGGTGTTGTCAGAAATTAAAAGTGAGAAGAAGAACATATGTTAATTATTGTAAACAGTCAATGTGTAAATTAAGTTGTATTAAAAATGTGTATAGTTTTGGATGTTGGTTTGTGTTTAATAAACTAACCAAAAGAACGCCAATTGAACAAATAAAATTGTGACAGACAGGTTTTGCAGGAAGTCTTTAAAGTAATGAGTAAACATTTTATATTTATTATCTTACAAATTGACTGAAATTTGTAAGCTTACTGCTGGCGAAAAGGGTGGTACCATGCAGACTACATTATCAATAACGAAGATAAACATGGACAACCTTTTGCGGCTATAAGTCAGGAAATGTTTGTAGGAAAAACAATATCAGCTTATGAAATATGATCAAATATTTACAGGAAATGTTTATTATATCGAACTGTTATATACATCATGAGTATTTCCACGAGTTACATACCGGTAATCTTTGAGTTGACTCTTTTAAACTCATTGTAAATATGACTGTTATTCGTTTTGAAATAAATTCTTTAATACTTTGCAATTGCTCGAATTCGAGCAATATGTACACTAGTAACATTAATTTCATTGTAATATTTATCATACTAACAAATTATGCATGCATTTTACAGAATATTAGAAAACGCCGCATTGAAAAACATAGAAACCAAATTGCACAACTAGAAAAAGATAGACGAAGAAGGTTCTTGGAAATGAGGAAAGAGGAAGAAGACAACAAGAAAAGAGTTATAGAAGAAGCTAGAAGACTTTTGAGGCAAGAGAAAGACAATGCAAAGTCTCTTATAAGTGCTCTCCGATTCTCAGAGGTAAACACAAATACTGTAATGGGAAAACCTGATTCTGTTAGATTGGCTTCAATTGCAAAACCTAAATCGAATCTTTTTACTTATCTGATGATTACAGTAGCATTTTCAGTAGGCTAATAACAAAGAAATTTGAATTTTATATCTCTAGTTAAACATTTTGGATTTGGACTGATTACTTGATGTTTTACACAGGTTACGATTTTCTTAACATTAGGCTTACATATATCACTTCAAAAATAAATTTTTATCAGCTCTGGTTTTTCCTATCTACCAGAACATCTGCCCATGGGGTCATCTCACTCTGGTTTTCTCTGTCTTATGTAACACTTTATAATCCTCAGTAATCGAATTGTGTAGACTATTATTTTACTTCTGTATGAGGAGTTTGTCACAAATTTCATGTATTCCATGTCTGAATATAGGCTATATTGCTTTAATAACTTGTTTACAAATACAACTGTCATGGTTGGGAAAAGTTAGTTTTTATGCGGTTTGTTCATATAGTTCATGGTTGTGTATTTCTTATCTGGGAGAGGAAATATTGATAAAAACATGTTGCTATAAAGTTATGAATTATCTAGAAACTTTCCCATTTATTAGCGAATTTCCCTATAGGGAAGTAGCTATTACCGTAGGTCTCATGGTAAGACTTAGGCCCGAGACCGATTTACTTTTTCATTTTGATGTCCCCAGAGGCCAAAAACACCACTCGTTCAAATTTGTATATATGTATTTTGATGGTAAAAATAATGAGGCAGTAAGTGATAAGCATATTCCTTTGTCGGTAAGATCTCATAAAACTAGCTCAAGTATATAAAGAAAATAATAATGTATATATATATATATATATATATATATATATATATATATATATATGTGTCCGTGAACACGATAACTTGAGTAATTTTTATCCGATTTTGATGAAATTTGGTTTGAAGGTGTAAGGCGGGATAAACTTGAATGAGTTCGCGATCCAGCATGATCGGACCATGGGAACAGGGTTTTATGGGGGGTTTTATGGGGTAAAAATTGGTTTTTCTCACTTTTGACCCTCAAAACACAAAATTTCCCAATTTTTCTCTAAACCTTCTTAAAGAGCTTAAAAAAACAAACAATTCAGTATATCAAAGTGTTTTTGTACGGTTATTGGTTACGGAGAAAACTAAAAAAATGGTAAATTTAAAATTCCCATGTTATTCTTATGGAGAATATTGTAAAATGTTGTAGTTTGCTTGTTTATGGATATCTTTTGATCAAACTTGGCAAATATATTCATTTTATACTAAGCAATAATTATTTTACTTAAAACACTCACTTTATTAGTTTCCTTGTAGCAGCAAACCTAGGTACTCGTTAAACCTAATGTTATTTAAATAGATCAATTGAAAATCAATTCAGCCAAATGGAAATTCGCTTAGGCGTCAGGTTTGCTGCGGCGGGGGTATTTTTTAACCAATTTAGAGTCTTCACATGAGAAATACAATGTTTTCATTTTTTTTTTTATTATAGGCTCTACCGGTAGGGCATACCAAAAATGCACAATTCAGTAAAAATATTTCAAATGACTGCAGTAGATTCTACGGAAGCTTGCTTTGAGTTACCAATAGACGATTCCTTGCCCAGCTAGAATTATGTTAAGTTCAATTATTTATAATTTTTGTTTAATGCCGCATCACTTTCAAGTATATCAACAACACTTCAGGTTCTAAGAGAGAGAGAGGAGCAAATTAAATTTGAGAAGAAATTACAAAATATAGAAAATGAAAGGGAGAAAGAGTATGCAGCTAAACTGAAATCTGATGCGGAGGAGTACAAATTAGAGCTTCAGAATGAAAAGGAACAAAAATATAAGAAGATGGCAGAACTCAATAAAGAAGTCCGCAAAGAGTAATGAGTTTATTTAAACATCTATAAATTTACACTTTAATTTAGTTGATTAAGGTTTTGACTAAATTCTAGCCATTTAAAAATTTGACTGCTACATTTAAGGTTTTTGTATTATTAGGCCTACTACCAAGTTTATTTTACGAGTGCCACATAATACTCTAAACAGTACACATTTTAACTGTGCAAACCTAGTTTAATGTAAAGGGTAATCATATTTTACAGACAGTAACCATTCTCAATAAGGAACAAACATCCATACAGGTTGCTGTCATGACAAGTTTAAAAGAATTTCACAAAAACACATATTTTCTCTCTAAATATAAACGGCAAAAAATGAACTTTAAAAATTTGTCAAGAACACTCATATAATTAAATTTAATGATAAGTTAAGATTTATGAAATAATAGGCAAAATGGTGGTTCGTTTATTTTGACAAAGTCCACTGCAAGGGTGTAAGCCATTGTCATTTAGACAAATTGTTTGGGAAAGGCCGTGGATACACATTTTACACAGCTATCTTCAATGAATTATCTTTCATTTTCTCTATAAATCTGAAAAGGTAGGTAAATTTCAATACTGTATCAGGATACATTAGCTTTGGTAAATTGCAATATATAACCTTGCCTGATAACAGATTTAAAGGGTTTGGAATGGTTATTGGTTTGGTCACAAACATCCTTTATAATAAAATGTGTTCTGAATTTGATGTCAATGTGTTATTTAACTCCTGGCACCATATGACATATTTTAGATTTTAGATGTTTTCGCTACAGTACAGAAAACAATCATTCTTCGTTAAATATTAATAACTAGAGAACCCGTGCGGCTCAATGAGCCGCATATTATGAAACATAACGCCGCGGAAAACGTTATGCTCGAATTCGAGCAATTCTGGTTACATCTTAGAGTTGTTTAAACACTTGTCAGAAACTAATTTTAAATATCTCTGGTTTGTCTCGTCAAGGTTCACCTACATTATTTCTGCTCTCTGTTTTAACTGATAACATCTAATGCATGCTAAACGGTCTGCTTCAATTCGAGTTAACATGTTGCAACAAAGTTTTTCCAGCATTGACAATTGAAGAAAACTGTTGCCTTATTGATAAACTGTGTTAAGTAATTTAAGTTGGGTCATTTTATTTCTTTGATTTGAGACACCCTAATCAAACGAATTTTCTCCGTAGAGAAACCTGAAAAGTGGGGTGATATATCAACAATTTCTTTTGCTCCATTTTTTACTTACAAGTAGGAAACTGTGTTATTGAACTTATAAACTACAGATTTAAATATCATTGATTTTTCATAATATATCATGTTCTTCTAGAATGGCAGAATTTATCAAGAGAAAAGAGGAATTACAACAATCTGAGATAGAATTAGAAATCCAAGATAATATGAGAGTTTTGGAAGAAATAAAAGAAATTGAAGAAAATGAAAAGAAGGAGGTATTTAATAGTTCAAACAAGTTAGTAACTTAGCTGATATGTTTAAAAAAGTTATCAACTAGTTTTAGTGAGCATGTAAAAATGCCATCCTTAAAATAACAAAAACATTAACAACTGTTTTAAATAAAGAATAGTTCTAGACAATATTATTTCATGTTTAAAAGACTAAGATGGATTTACACAATCCCTATCAGCAGTTTCAATCATTGAAAGCGAAGCAAAGCTCTTTGATATCGGCTTCAATGCAAATGTTCTAACACTATAACGTCTGAACATATTTTAGCCGAACTAAGGTTGTTTCAACAAATGTTTGGACGGTTTAAGACGAAACAATTAAAATTTTGGATAATGCCTATGATATACAGTAGTTTAAAAGGTTTTTAAATTGTAACATTGGCCTTATTGGTTGCCAGCATGATAGTTACAAAATAACGACGTAAATGTAAATAAAAAAAAATAATCATATGTTTAAAATTGAGCCAATATACGACCTAAACACAGTACGAAAGAAATCCTTAGTATAATATATGACCATACTAGCTGTAACCCGCGGGCTTTGCCCCGTTTAACTTCTTAATTTTCAAGATTATCTAGTTCGCATGGCTCAATTGTTCGCTACGCTCACTCACCTTTAGGCTGGAGCTCGTTCGCTACGCTCACTCACCTTTAGATTGGAGCTCGTTCGCTGCGCTCACTTGCCTTCAGGTTAGCTCGTTCGCTACGCTAACTCGCCTCCAGGTTGAAGTTCGTTCGCTACGCTCACTCACCTTTTGGTTGCAAATTAGCTGTTGTCATAAATGTAAAAGAAATAATAGTGCTGCACCCTGTTGGTAATCCTTGTAACTTTAATGCTATTGAACATCATAGAACAGAACCAACTTGTTAAGTTGAAACAGCTGTTAAGATTCAATAATTCCATTTCTCATAAGGTTAACATAGGAAACTCCAGAGCCACTGGGGCGGAGCCCGAAAGGATTTTTGAAATAAGAATATGCCTATATGTTAATCGGGAATGTGAGCTATCATCATGCCAAATTTCAGCCCAATCCGACCAGTATTTTTTGCGTTCACTTGTCACAAACATACATCCATACATCCATACATCCATCCATCCAAACTTTCTCATTTATAATATTAGTAGGATAGGATGACTGATCAAATAATAATACAGAGAAAGAAAATACTGATCAAATAGGAACAGTAATTGAATATAGAAAACAATTTTTAAAATAAAACCGTTTTAAGTTTCTTTAACTATTAGGCCCTATTCCTTTCAATATCCCTATTTCATTTCAATCAAGATGCAACAAAATCAACATCATCAAACAGGGTTAAAGTATGCTAAGTTGTTAGTATTACTTGTTTCTTAGTAGTTTGATCAGAAAGACAAATTTTATCCATATATAAATCCCAAAGTACCCATAAACCTTTGAGAGAAAACTAACAGTCACCCCCCCCCCTCCATTAACCATATACTTAAAATGTTCGTAATGACGAGAAACCTTGCGCAAAACTATATCCTTTCTAAAGGGACATCGATCTCTAAGGGGGTAATGTCAATTTATCACCTTATTAAGATCAGGCGTGATTATTTGTTTTTATTGCCATTGACTATTGGATACTGAAGTCTATTTTATTAATAGTCAAAGGTATTACTGTATTCTATTTTGTTTATTTCAGTGTTTAACTTAACCAATCAATAGTTTTATTAATACTTATGAAGTCAAATGGGGTGAAGCCCGTGGGCCAGCTAGTTTATTTTCAATTTAATTTGTGTTCTTATTATTTCCTCTTTCTATTAGTTAAGAATGAAGCTGACAATTTTTTCTCAGCTCTATTGGCTCGTCCAATCTCTCCAATCTGAGCTGTCCAACAGAGTTCAACTCAACTCCGTCTTGACAAATTAAGAATTTGAGTTGAGTTGACTTGCCTAAGGAGTAAGGAGTTTGGTTGTTGGCCTGACGTTAAGCTAGGAAAATGTATGGTTTACACAAATTCAATTCAGAACATCCTCATTCTTGTATTTTATCATGAATTGAAATGCATCTACAGGATGTTTCCAAATTGTCTGGATATATTTTTTGAACTTGTTCCTTGGGCTAATTAAAACATAAAATGCCTAATAAGTATGGGTCTAAGATGACTAGATTTCTGTTTGTCGGTCTGTTTGTGATTTTTAAGAATTATTTTATATCCTGGACATTTTTCAAGATAGAAATTACAAAATTTATATAAATTTGTATTTAAGTAGGTGAAAAGAGCCTACAAAGTTTCGTTCCAATGCCTCAAGGCGTCTCAATACGGCGGCCATTTAAAGTCTTTAATGCCAAATTTCATGAAAACCGTTAATATTGAAAATTGTTTGTCCAATCAAAAAGATAGAGAATTTAAATCCAAATCAAATGAGACCTTGTTTGTTCAAAGCGGATGACAAACCGCAGTTAAATAAGACATTTAATTGCGTAACCGAATGTAGATAACTCAGTTGTTTGTCATCCGATTATAACAAACAAGGTCTCATTTGATTTTGATTTTGATTTAAATTCCTTATCTTTTTGGACTGAAAGCAATTGTGTACGGTAAATATTAACTTTCCTCATAATGTCATTACATTTATGAATGATTAGTAATAATATAAATATATAATGTTTTAGAAAGAAAGAAAGAAACAAATAATCATAGCAGATATCTTGGAAAATAGAAAAATGATTGCCGAATTTGAGGCTCAGTGTAAGCTTGAGCGAGAAGAAGAAGAAGCAGCCATCCACATCCATGCAGAGACTAAGAAAAGGATTGCCAAGATTAAGAAAGAGAAGGAAAAAGATGTATGTAAACTATAATTATGATTATATTTTTAAAGGTATTTCGTATTGATTAATTTTATTTGGGGTCTGCGGTGAAACGAATGGTGCGTAGAGTAAAGAAAATAAATATTCAACATTTAACTCATATTCACTGGGGATGGTTAAATAATAATCCTCTAAAACTCAGAAGGTGGCTTAATCGATCCAGCATAAAGTCTTGACAATGATATAAACAACTTTACATCATTGGTCTCGACATAGCCATATTTGATCATTGGACCTTTGATAAATAATTCTAACAAAATAATCAACAAATGTTGTCAGTCAGTGCTATCATTTCATTACTTAACACTTATCTTTGACTTAAAACGCTCACTACGATGTGTCAAGCAAGGAGTCAATTCGTTGTCCTGTAAACCTAATCCATGGCCATTCAAAACGGCTTGACTCTGGTTAATCATTGCTTAGCTTTCTTAATGCATTTTAGAGACTAACTCATACTACTTTTTAAAACTAGATTAAATGTTTTGTTCATCCTGTTAGTTATTTGAATCTGAGTTAAAAACTACATGCAACATGAGTGGCTCTTATATAGTTGATTTAAAGTTAAGCTGTGGCAGATAGTTATATGAAGAGAATAACAATTGAGATTTTACAGTTTTCTCAATTCAATACTAAAATGTCTATTAGATTTCTTTTACATGTCATAATACATCATCTTCACATCATACATACATCATTGGCTATGGCCAATCATCTAGCTGCTGGTTTGTAAAATTATAATACTTTCCAGGAGGCAAAAGCTAATCAGATGAGAAGAGAGAAGATATCAGCTGCAGTAGCGGCAAAAGCAGCTGACAAGGAGACTGAAGAGAATAGAATCATTCAGAAAGCTGTAGCAGAGAGGGAGGCAAGGTAATTTGTATACTATAACAATATGCTACTTAATTGTAACACACCGGTGGTTTGTAAATATTTTACCTATTTTTACAGCAATCCGAGTTTATTACAACTTTTTTGGATGACCAATACAATTCTATATGCCCTCCAACATGCTTTTCCCCTTTAGTCATCATGTTAGTAATTACTAACTATTTTTAAAACATCCAGGGAACACTTGTTCTATAGCTCAATTGTTTTTGTTTTAGAGAGAAGGAACTGATTGAAAAGAAAAAGATTTATCAACAGCAACTCGTTGATGAATTGAATGAAGAAAGAAAACACCAATTAGTGTTTGAGGAAGAAAAGAAATACCAAGAAAAGGAACTGTTGAAACTGAGTATGATGCAAAGATTGAAAAATGATGAAGTAAATGCTGAGTTTACCCAGCAAATGAGGAAGGATAAAAAAGATAAATTTAAATCTAATAGAAACACTTGGGATAAGCAGTGTGTAAGTATTGATTTTTCCTCTATGTAAGATCGGGCCATAGCTTACTTTATTTACTCTAGACAAGAAACTACATAACACTTTTTAAAAAAATGTTAATAATGTAAAGAGAGTCCATAAGTACTTACTAGTTTATTGACCTAGTTTTTATCTATTGTGTCCTTCTGTACTTATTAACTTGATCCTTCCTGCTGATTTTTTTTCCTGCCTTGCCGTCAATCCAATATAACTCCTATATTCCATACTCGGCAAAGCATATTTAAACTGTTCCTTATAATTAGATGACAGTTTTTTTTATATATATAATTAACAACAACTTACTAATAAATCTTCAATTACCGATGACATTCTAAGTATTTTGCTTTATTAAGAGGGATAAGTATTTTGCTCGCCGCCAGGCCTGTATAATTTGTATATGATCCCATGGGTCCCCATCCTAGTTTCTTCTCTCTTGACAAAAGATGTCGAAAGGGGGTTGGTTCAGCAATTTTTCTTTAGCAGCAGTTGAGGTTCCCGTCATAGTCCCAGTGATAACAAAACAGCTACCCAACTATTAGATTTACCTAATTTTTGTTGCTGCCTGTGTTCTTGTAGGTAAGATGTTTGTGTCACCTTATGTTATGCATTTCACCACCTTGTTTGGTATCTTCAGGGGTCACCTTGTGAATTCATCTTTTTATCACTAACACTAGTCTATATTTAGTATATTTACAAACATATTTACTCATACCTGGTCACCAGTATGGTGGTCAGGTTGTTCTAACTACGTGATGCCGGACACACGGCAGGGTCACGGGAAGAAGACTCTCTTCCTCGTCCATTTAATTTATTGGACTGGGGTGTTGAAATTTGGGTAGTTTGTCAGATGAAGGTAGTTTGGACTTTCCTGGTGTATGGTGGGGTGGGTGGTTTGATCTCTGTAGTTTTCTACTACGGTTGGTCGTTGAACATTGGATACCAACACCTCCTGTCCAAGAAATCAAATGCTGGATTAAGAAACACCTCTTGACTTTGACCCGATTATATCTACAGAAAACATACATAACTTTTGGGTCCACGAACTGATTCATAACTTAGTTTATTAAGTGTCCTATAGAAATCCATATTTCTCGCCGTTAGGAGCGGAACCATGATGTAATTTCGGAGGCAATTCACTTTCCAATCCCTCCCTATAACGCCATTTTCATTTTAGTAATAAAGCAATTTATAAATCGTTTGAGTGAAATTAAAATCTTTTTTCTTTGTCCGGTTACTGTGCTCATGCAGTGGTGAGTGAATGCCGTATCGCTTACACCATTGAGCTGTAAATAGTCTTACCATCAAGTTTATTTCTAATCGGTTTTATTTCTAATGATATGACGGTTGTACATATGAAGGTCTCCATTGACTTACCATCGCAGCCAAGTTAGCTGGTTCAAATCTGCAACGAACATCGTGTTCCTTACTTAATTTATTACTATTCTAAGGGAATTCCCCTCGGCCCTCTTTGAGACTTATAGTTTTTTCATGGAATACAAAAACAGTAAAAAAATTAAGCTTTTGCCAAAGTACAAATCGTTTCCTATCATGAGATTTCTATGGTTTCAGTTGTCAACCGCAAATAAAGTAAGTCACCAGTTGACAGACGTAAAATAAGGTGTTTATACTTAGAAAATTGGTGTAAGAGGGGATGGAGTTTGGACTTATTTAAAGTATATTGCACTTTAATCACTGTCTCGGTGGAAACCGAAGATAACAACTGGTGCCTGCTTGACAAAACCAATATACATTCTCCATATGTAACTTATAGCGGGAGAAAGTAAAAGGACATAAATGTTTTTTAGTGCATTTGGTAGTGTAACAAAAAACTGAAACCTTTGTAAAAAACCTTTCACACCACAGGAGGAGATAAAGGCAGTAAGAGCCGCAGAAAGAGCCGAAGATGTTGATGCTGTTGCAAGAGCAGTAGAATGCTGGAATCTGGACGATAAACATTTTCTTGAGTATGCTGAGAATGTTCTCGAGGAAAGCAAAAGTAAAAATAGACTTCTTCTTCCGATGCAAAGATATATTGAGGTAATACTGAGTGAATTGGAGTAGAGAGTGATGAATACTTTTAATGAAGAATACTTTCAAATATTGCTGCTACAGAATTTTAGACATAGGAAAATCTGGTTTTGTTGTTCCAGTGGTTAGCAGCTTAAACTTCCATAAATTTTAAAAATTGTCTTTAAAAATGCATTTTTTTTTTTCTAACTATCTCAACCAAGTGTTGGCTTCAGTTCAGGCCTACTGTAATTATGGACAAGTGTATTACATTTTTAGGGACTTGTGACTTACCACATTATTTTATCACATAAATAATGGCTTATAAGCATTATACTCATATAGCTAAAAAAAACATGAAATAATTGGTGTTTTATTGTTTCCCACATTCTTATATATTCCAATACTATTCTTTTTATACATGCATCCTCGTCATACACCGTATGTAATTCATTGAAAGCATATGTTCTTCAATATCAGAAATCCAAATCACAACATTCAATATTAACAAGGTGTGACTATTATAGGTCAGCAATAACTATTAAAAGGAATCACTGTGTGTATAAATAAATGGACATTGTAAAAGTATGTCTAATGTCTGAGTACTTAAAATTTTCAGATTCAAGGGAAAACATCAAACTTATCACCATTAATAGCCTCCTCTAATACAAGGCCAGGCTAGGGAAATATGTGGTAACTCCACAGTCCTGGTCAATAGTCTGAGCAATGCTAATAGGCCAATAGGCCTATTTATTTACATGTTTGTTACTATTGCTACTACGTATTGAGTGTGTTAAAAATTAGAACAAAATAAGATTAACATAAAGATGTAATTGTCAATGTTTAAGCATGCATTTGAAGAGTTTGTACATCAATGGGCCGAGGGCGTATTATTGCCATAGTATAACATTAATGGAACAGAGCATGTTAGGTACTGTTATTATGTACGTATTATGTATTATTTACGTTCACAGTCGTGGTGAAATTGTGGCAAGTATAGGTCGGTGAGTGGCAGCCACATTGTTGGGCAGGGCCTTGTTTTAGAGGAGAGATTCTACACCCATAATAATGATTTAAGTTTAACTTTTAAAATTAAGTTCTGATTCAATTCTATTTTAAGTATCAAAAAGTTAACTAATATAAAAATTTTCATTAGGGTGCACTAATAAATTATGTACTATTTTTTACAGAAATTCAAAAAAGAAGTCGGCATCACCAGGTTTCCAAAACAACACAAGCTATTTATATCAAAAGTTCCGATCAATAATAAACTTTATGAATGTCCTGCAGCCAGAAAGAAGACCGTTGATACATGGCCAAATGAAAACGACCGCAAAAGCAAACCTCTGAACAATATTTTTGAATAGGCTGTTTGGGATCTTAAAACCCCTTACTCATTTACTGATAATTTATCAGTAAAAATCATCTTGAAATCATCAAATTCTTTTGTTGAAACATCTACAGTAAATAAAACATTGCCAAGGAAATAATATTTTGGTTTATAGCATTAGCTCAAATATTTCTACAGTAGTTAGAATTTAAAAAGAATACACATTTAATCTTTGAAAATTAGCATTATTTTTTTCATCCCTTTATAGCCAAACCTTGGATGTATTTTATCCAATTTAAATATATTTATTCCTCACATACAAAATAGCTCACTTTTGGTGACTAATGAATCACAGGGAACGTAAATACCGGTACCTCAGTGACCTGGAAAATATATTAAGAGTCTTCCTCACCAAAAGAGGAAGTTTTAGTCGACTCCAGCGCTCCAAAACTGGCGTCAAAAGGGCCAACTAATACAAAAACAATATCCTATGTTGCACGGGCTGTAGCACACAAATAGTTTTCCCGCCTCTATTCAAACAATCGAAGGGCGGGGGGAACAAGGCAAAATTCTTGTCTCTCTTGCAAGGTGCGGCGAGAGGCAGAGGCAAGCCTAACGGGTTCCATTGATGGGCTACCGACCGACCTGGGGTAGCAATTAACTAGCGAGCCACTGGATGGTTAAAGGTTCGGCCGGTTATTTCCAACTTATTGCTGGTTCTCAAGCTTACTGAGCTCGTTGTACAGTGAAATCTTACTTCCCTATTTTATATAGCAACAATCAAAGCGATTTTTATAAGAAAGAATGAAGATATGGACTCAGTGATGCGTGGTGACTTAATCAAATCATGTTCCTTGAATGTTTATCCTTGTATAAGAGCCAATTAATAATCAAATCAACTTATATTTTCTTTATTTTTTGGTTTATCTACCTCTATAAATTCAAGTGGTAGCCCTGTACATGGTTAACACATACATACCGATTCCTTTGAACATGTTTTAATGCCTTTTAATGTTTTTATTTTTAATGTTAACATTTTAACATGCCATTCAGTATTCTTATTCAAAACACCAAACACCCGCCACCGGACATGGTATTGTATCACTCCGCACCGAGTTGTTCTCTTTGCCGCCAGGCCACGCGCCGATCAGTGGCCTCTCAATTAGACCTTAACATAATTTTTACAACATTTGGGGACACGTATGGCGTTATTTGTTAAGATATAGCTTTGAAATTAATAATATGTATTTGTATCAACTCTAGACTGAGGTTTTTTTTTTATTTCAAAAAATCCGTCTTCATTTTCATTCAATTAGTTGAGTTTTAAGTTAAACTCAATATATCATTATAAAAAGTAAAAGTTGTTAAATTAAAAACGTATGGTAAGTTTTTAGAGGACTGAAATACCTTTAATTTAACTCCTTATATCCATCATTATAAGACGATTTGCTGATGAGATATTGAGACCCAAAGTTAACAAAATGTTACTGGTTCCATTGTGAATGATGAATTTTGGATCCAGATGCCTTGTGTAGTGGTATAGATTAAAATTATCTTACAAAATGCCAACTGAAGTTAACATAGTAAAATGGCCAGGGTTGGTTTACTAAACATTTGAAAAATAAAAATACACACAGTATACAAAAACACAAAAAGCATATGCGCCCTTTCCCTGCTAAAATATAAAAAAATACCAACTATCTACAGAATTATTATCCCGTATTCGCCTATCTCGTCATGTAGGCCCTACATACCAACTGTTGTCATATTTGTATCTCGTTTCATGGTATTTAAAATTAGCTATTTCAATGTGGCATTATTATTATACACACTGTATTATAGCTTGTTATATTGCTGTTATTTGTATCAACAAAATACTCATGTCACCGGTTTACTAAATTGTTGTGTTATAAATATTATAACTTATCAAGTCGCAAATTATTACTGTCTTAGGCAAATTAATGTATGTATACCATGAATGTATACGGTATAATAAATGAAATACACATGTCCATGAAATTGCATAAATGATTAGATTTACTTTACCATAACAATTGAAATACATATATGTAATACATATATAATGATAGTTGAAATACATAATTGAAATCCATGATAATGAAATACATATATTATACATTATATTAGTACGCTTTCGCAGTTCAAGACAATTTTGAGAAGTTGCCATTGGCAAACCTGGTATCTGGTGGGCTTTGCGCTTCTTTGCAGGAATTCGCCGCTTGTGTGTTTCGTTCTGCTAGGGCACTGTCAGTGTCAAAAATCCGGACTCCGTTTGTCAGTGTGCGACACGCCCCACCCCCGGTTCATTCATCAGGTGTATTAGGTGTCAAATCAAAGGCTCATTTCAATAAATTCATATTCATGCACATTAATAAATTTCTGTGTTATTTTCCTTCTAAAGAACCATGAATGAAATGACTAATCTAATCGTGTTCCAATGGTTAACTAGGTGACGTGAGTGTTTGTTATCCCAGTGGTGTTTTTGCTCTGTACGATTTTATCGGCATATTTGCCAGAAATGGCAGAAGACGAAATTCTTTTCGATGATGTTTATGAACTGTGTGAAATAATTGGGAAGTAAGTTTACGTATTAAAACTAAATAATTAGAACTAAAACAAAACCTCGGACCTTTGACCTTTCCAAGTAAACTTTAGGCTTGATTATGGGATACAGTAAACAAGTAGGCTAGCTCCAAGTTCAAAGTGCTTGGAACATTTAATTTAGTTTCTTCAATAAAATTCTAAAGTGTCTGGTAAACTGAAGTTGGTCGTCCCAATATGATATAAGTTTAACTAGTCAAATCAATTAAACAAATCATAGGGCTTAGGTATAAGAATGGTGCTAGTTATGCCACAGTATAGCCTTCTGTCTGGGCTGTGATTTCTAATACACAATACTCTCATGACTCCTCATATGATATAAGTTTTTAACTAAGCCTAGTCAAACAATTAAACACCTAGGTATAAGCATGGTGCTGGTTATGCCACAGTTATAGCCTTCTGTCTGGGCTGTGATTTCTACTCTCACGACTTTGAATATCTGATTTTCTCAGATTCAAAGCCAAGTCACACAAGCAAAATAGGCTAGGTACAGATAGCTTACACCTAAGTTACAGCTGGAAACCTGACAATAACTTAGGTATTTTTGGTTTGGCTAAGTTTGTTTATCGGTTGAATCGATACTTTAATGTTCAATAATAGGCGTGAAGTTGTACCTATATCAAAGTTTCACTAAATACCATAGGCCTACTTAAAATATTAATTACCCTTATACCTGCTCGTGAAAGTCTACACTACACTACCAATAGGCTTCTTTAGGCATACCATAGAATCATGTTATGGAATGAAATATCAATAATATTGTGTTTTACAATCAATGTTTATACTTTGTGTGATAGCCTATTTGGCCTAGTCTAAACCACCATAGAATAGAAGTCTTAAAACCCCTTCAGATAAGTAAGCCTAAAAAATGTTCAATACCAGTATCAAAAAAACAAAACTTCCATATCGGACTCCATCCTATTATCAATTCTTAGCCTACAATTGGTCCCGCAACTTATAGAAAGTTTGGTTTTTGGTTAGGCTAAGATTGGTTATCAATCCAATCAATACTTTTATGTTCAAGTAAGTTAAGTTTATGATGGAGTCGGGTATTTAAGTTTCGCTTTTAATCCAACATTCGTTTATAAACTCTTAAACTGGATTTTAACGAGCTAGGCCTAATTGCCTGTTAGCTTAAAAATCTAACATTTTCCATTGCCGGAACCGTTTACACATAGTTTTAGGCCTACCTAGAGTTTCTCAGCATTAGGCCTATCATATATGCTGAAATCCCTGGTGGTTGATAGGATTTGATCCTTAGACCTTGAGAACCAATGCCCCATGATTTAGGCCTACCACTAGACCAGCTCCCTGCCTGTATTTAGACATCAGAAAATTTCAATCAAAGTAGCTATTTTTATTCATCCCATTTCTTATTTTATGTAGCTATGTATTTTAAAATTGACAAGACCTATTGTATTTTGTAATTACTTAACGGTCAATAAAATGTCACATCATTTAGGCCTTCTGGGTTAACAGCTTCAACCACACAGTTTTTTGACAACAGTAGACTCCCTCTTATCCGGACTCCTTGGGACCGAGGCCAGTCCGGATAGCGGCTATTCCACTTAAAACGACACCCCCAAAAACTCGTTAAAACGGACCGTTTAAATGAATACCTACTGAATTTACAGTATTTGACTTAAATTTAGGAGAACATTGTATTTAGACACGTGATCACTGGTCTCAAATGTTTCCCACGAGAACGGTCGTTTCAGTACCACCCACTTCCTGCCGATCTACTCCGGTTAAACCGATGTGCTGATAAAAATTGTCCAGTTAAAGAGATCATTTCTGCCGAGTGTAGTCTGGTTAAACCGATGTCCGGTTAAAAGATATCGGATAAGAGGGAGTATACTGTAATGATAAGTATCATTCTGTCAGACGCTGCTAGTGATAGACATCTCATTTAGCCTAACTGTAAGCTTCAAGCTAGGCAGTTTTAGAAAAATAATCAGAGTTGAATTGAGCTACCAATATAGTTCGCTGATGTCAAGTACTCTACTGATTTTTGCCAAGTAAATCATGTCAAGTTTTTAATAAAGCAAAAAATTAAGGGGCAACTTATCATAACTTACGAGTTATGCGGTTGACGCTAACAGGAGATAATTTTGATTTTAAGTTTTTGTACTTTCATACAGGTTTAAGCTCAGGCTTCAAAAATTCATTGTTACAGAGGACGTATTATACGTTTAGGCCTATATATTTGAACCATCCAACTGATAATAAATCCATGAGAATATGTAATTTACAAAAGAAATAAAGAAACATAAAAAATTGCAAGTTTTTAAAAATGTATCTTGTTGCAACACTTTACTCTAGCCCTAGCCTATGTAGGCCTATCTGCCTAGGTGAATAAAGATTGTTTGATTGACCCATTGGTTTAGCACAAAATCAGCCGAGTGTGACTCCACTGCTTTTATGAAAATCAGCATAGCCATCCTATGAAATATAAATGTCACAGTAAAGACTCTGTATTTCATAGTTCAGGCTAATTAAGTTTATAAACTGCTGTTGTTTCAGGGGTCCTTTCAGTTTAGTAAGAAGATGTATTCATCGGCAGACAGGTCACCAGTTTGCTGTGAAGATCGTAGATGTTGCAAAGTTTACCTCGAGTCCGGGACTTAGCACCTCAGGTTTGTATTAACTAAACACTAAAATACCCTTAGATGTCAAACATCATCTCAGTTTTGGGTCTATTTATCTGTGATGGCTCCGTTTCATGCCACGTTTTTTTACGTGATAATGATTAAATGTTGCATTTATTATCTTGAGTAAAATTAATGTATATTATAAATTATTGTAAAATGGTTAATACCGTAATAAATAAATAAATGATTTTATATCTACTAAGCTATCTCCACTATCTTTTATCAGTGACTAGGCCTACTTATATTTCTTGTAGGCCTACTGTAAAAGTTCATGTTTTTTTTTACTAAACTCCCTTTTAAACATTTTTGTGGAAATGTTGCAGATTTGAAGAGGGAAGCTACAATATGTCACATGCTAAAGCATCCGCATATCGTAGAGCTGTTAGAGACATATAGCTCAGAAGGAATGCTCTACATGGTGTTTGAATAGTAAGTTGTTTTAATACATTACAGCCATCATGTTTTCAATGCTACCTAACCCTATAAGCTTTAACCGATCATATACTGGATGCAAGAGTAACAAACAAGATTTTGCTTACCTACAAGAAATTTTAAAGAGAACATACACTACAGGAACATCCTTCTCTACAGCTGAAGCCAGCAAATAATAAACTTAATTTTGATTGTGTATGATGGGTTTAACTTAGTTTGTTTTAACTTTGGTATTACAGTACTTGATTTTGGGGGAATTACAGTTGTATTATTTCAAATATAAGAGATTGTGTCATGACTAATGCACATACATTAGTATGTCAGATGGGTTCAATAATTTAGTTTAGTAGTTTCAACATTCAAAGTATATAACTCACGTTTGGTCGCAGTTACTTTCTTACTGAGTTTGAATGTTAACATAATGCTCAGTATTTGCTAGGATCATCTTTATTATTGTATCTTGATATGAGTGAGTAAGACTAAACTTGTTGTAATTTTCAGCATGGATGGATCTGACATCTGCTTTGAGATTGTGAGACGAGCGATGGCAGGTTTCGTCTACAGTGAGGCAGTAGCAAGGTAACATTATAAATGATTATTTTCGTCAGGAATTTTAATAATAATTCTATAGATAGTTGGTATTGTAGCAAGGAAAGGGCTAGATGCTTTTGTGTTTTTGTATACTGTTTGTATTTTCAAACGTTTAGGAAACCAACCCTGACCATTTCACTATGCTAACTTCAGTTGTCATTTTGTTAGATAATTTAATTAATTGATACCATTACAAAAGGCATTTGGATCCAGAATCCATCCATTCACAATGGAACCCTTAACATTTTGGTTTCATATGAGATTGGTGAATATTGTCAAAACCACCAAATTTCTGTCCTGGAGGCATGAGTTCAAATCTAGCTGATCACCAATAGCTAGTTAGCTAAAGTTTATAACATGACTCAAGCTATTTTTTAGCCCAACTCAAGCTGTAATTTCACTCATTTAGAGAAACAATTAGTAGGATGCCTCGGCAAAGAGAGCTGTCCTTGCATGAACCCTAGATCTGACGGTCATTTTATTCACCAGTGGCGGGTATATTTTGGCCCTTTTGTAGTGGTGCCATATATATCGCCATATAACAGTTATTTGTAAATATAAGTACACATATACAGGGTGTTTTTAAAAGAATGCCGGGATTTCAAACGGTTTTTGCTCGGGGACTATTCAAGATAATTACACGATTTAAACATCAAATTGAAGGGAAAAGAATAAAGTTTTTTTCTAATTCTTTCATACAATTCGGAATGATTTAATAAAACTCAGATTTTCATCAATCTTATATGAGCGTAAAACTGGCAAAGTCTGACGCTTAGAGCGATCGAAGGGTTTATCTGACGTCTTAACTGAATCTTTTTCGGCACAAAGACTCTATATTTTATAGATAACATCATAAAGAAACCAATTTAGGTGTGTTGAACTGAAGACTTCGTCGGGCAATCGATTTTTTCAGGCCTCTGATGCAGAATTGTCGGATTTCATCGACTAAGTCATCGCTTGTTTTTAGCCGGCCAGGTGAATGTCTTTTCAAAACACTTCAGTGCCACGAAACCCATTAAACCAGCGTCAAGTTTCGTTATCATAAAGTAGATTTAAATGTAGTTTAATTTAGCAATGGATATAAACTCTGCGAACTACATATTACAATCTGTGCCTTCTGTTGCGCCGTAAACGTCGTACTGGCGACTGGCGTCAGGCGTATCACAATAGCAGCCTATCACCCCGCACCTTTTTTATGCATGCCAAGGTCAAAGTTCCCTCCCTTGCTACACGGGAAACTTAACTTAGTTATTTTAGCTTCAATTTGACGTATAAAATGTTTAGTTACCGTACTTTGAATAGTATCCAAGAAATTACCTTTTAAAATCCCGCCATTCTTTTCAAAACACCCTGTATCTTCTGTTCAGTGATAAATGTAGAATAAAATGATATAAAAACAAATTCTAGCAATGTGTTTAGGCGTAATAGCAAAAGGCTTGCAAATTTTCGAATTATGCAAATTATAAATTTATAAAGCAACCCACAAGAAAACCACAAAATAATTTTTTACATATTTTATCTAAAAGTAAAGGTTGTGTGAAATATGATATATTCTACGTAGAAATATCAATGTTTTTTAAATACTCATAAAAATAAAAATAGAAATTCTACATACATAATATGTTCTTTTTTAAAAAACTACAAAATTTGTTAGTCATGTAGAAAATAATTGAAAGCATTAACAGGAAATAACTTTTGTACTGCATAATAGAAAAAAAAGATCTTTCTGAAAGTATATATGTAGTTGGATTCTAATATTTCTGAGTAATTTACGTCGGAATGTAAAATTTTGAAACTCTTTTTATAAAAACATAATTTTTATGACATTTTTAAAACCAAATAAAATTTTTACAATCTACCTCATAGATTCAGCAATTGTAGGGAATTTATTGTAGTTTCAGAATATTTGATAATATTGGATACAATTTAGTTTTCGATCGCCAAAAACAGCTGTTTTTGTTGTCAGGTGACCAAAACTTTCCACCAAAATATATTTTGAACTCTAGTTTTTCAAACTATGTTTCTTGCTACATAATACTCGCTCAATAAGGTTTCATACATGAACATGAATCCTCAGAATCTCATCTTTCTAATGATATAAGATTCATTGTGATTTAAAACGGTTTTCATATTTTAATAATAGAAAAACCTGACCCATGTTGTCTTGGTCGCTAATCGACCAGTGCCACTGAGGAGTTGCGTTTTAGTGGCCGATAATCGACCAACAACAGATCTAGGGTTAAACCTTTGACTATGGTTAAACTCTTCAATTATTCTCCCAAGTAGGTGTTTAGGGAAAATCTAAGTTATAACTACAATGAAAAACAAATTTAAACTACAAACCAAGTGACTGTATTTCTCATAAATATTTACAAGACATGGAACAAAATTAGACTAATAAAACAGACAGCTGATAATAAATAAACATTCATATCATGTAGCATATATTATAAATAACAAAAGGCAAGCATTTTCAACATAAACACATTCCTCTATCAAACCATTTGATTATTTGTTCATGGCAGCAAAGTGGTAGTAACAGAATCGCCTATGCGAATTATTCTGAATTATTCTCCCAATGCAGTGTTATTTTATCCCTTGAGTGACAGATTTCTCCCATGAACATTAATAAATAAAGATTATTAAGGTTTTATTGTTCCAAAATATTTAGGGATTAGGTTGCCTAATTAGGTGGTCAAAAAAGTAACATGGTCTGGATGCAAAAGTGAAATAATGATTCTGGAGTTATTTCGGTCAGTATGGAATGTTACATCTAATTTATGAATATTTTCTTTTGTCTGATTACCTTGCAACCTTTCTAAAACTAACTTATAATTATTGTTACTCATCAAAGCAGTGATACAATTAAGTAAAGGGTTATACCAGTTATACTGTACTTAAATATTATTTACTGGTTCAGTACTGGCTTTATAAATGGGCCCAGGGGCACAAGAGGTTATACATATGTTGGAGGCGCAAGGAAGACGAAATCCCCCACAAGGTGGAGAGGAGTGCAATACCTCTCAGGCCCAAAGCGCATCATATGCAAACCGTTGGCTTGTACTGGTTCGTCAAAATTTTTCAAAAAATATCACGGATCTCAACTCTATATTAGGCCCAGCGCACACGGTGTGACTGTTTTACAACAACTGTTGCAAACCAGTTGCGTCTGGAACCAGTTTACAACTGAAACAAAACTTCTGTCCGCACACGGTGTGACTGTTTTACAACGACAGTTGCGTCTATTGTGCAATCAGTGGAGTGCAAATTTAGTACAGTTACGTTGTTTTAAGGCCTTAAGTGTGCTTACTACGTCGGACTCAGACGAAGAAGACGTTATTAGCTATTATCAATACCGAAGACAGCGAAGAGTACTGAGAGAGCATTGGGTTCACCCTTATTTGAGTAAGAATGTTCGTACTAGGCTGTTTGTAGCAGCTAGAGCTATTTGGATAGGAAATTATAAACACTAAAAACACTATACGGCCGTCAAAATTCCACCAAAATACCACCAAACATCACAAAAACACCCCATGGTCTCGTGCAACTGAACTCTGCAACGCAACTGCAACGTCGGGCCCACGGTTGCATGTGACTGGTTTCAAACTTTTTTTGAAATCGCATACAACCAGTTGCGTTGTGTGCGCCTCCCCATTGCAATACATTGCCGAGGTCTCAAAACAGTTGCACGAGCAACTGGTTTGCAACGAAAGTTGTAAAACAGTCACACCGTGTGCGTTGGGCCTTAGAGTCCAGACAATGTATTTTTTGTTTGCCAAAATAATTGGTAGTCCAGAAATAGCAATCATTATTCAATTTACTTATCACTCATCGTTATGCTTTGATGTGATTATGACATACCCTGTATTAGAGCAAGGAAAGATTTGTTTGGACATATTAAAAAAGTACATAACACATTGTTTGTTAGAAAACGTTGTGTGCAGTTTGGTGGGACGGACTATCTGTTTGATTTACTTTCAACACCATTGCCATGTTATGAGGTACTTTTAATATACAACATCATAATTCTACTAGTCTGTTTTAAAGTCAAATAAATAATAAATTTTAAATAGGCTACATGTTTTACATACAACAGAAATGTCCTAAGATATTCTAGGGATTCTAAGGATCTCACTATTGATTTTAAAGCAATATTCCTGAGAGTCCTGATTAGGCTCCTGATGAATCATCTAAGTTCTAACCTTGTTAACAAAGTTGTTTCATCTTCGACGGGCCACTACAAATTTACTATTAAACACTGTCAAATATTTAAGATGGATGGTAGGCTATTGGTAATAAGTGGTTTGCCTTACTTGTACTAAAAGTCTAAAATGGCCATAAAAAGTTTATTTTAGCGAATTTCCCTATAGGGAAGTAGCTATTACCGTAGGTGGCACGGTAAGACCTAGACCCGGGACCGATTTACTTTTTCATTTTGATGTCCCCAGAGGCCAAAAACACCATTCGTTCAAATTGTTATATATGTATATATATATATATATATATATATAGACTTATATATATATATAGACTTATATATATATATATAGACTTATATATATATATATATATATATATATATATATATATACGTCCGTGAACAAAATAACTTGAGTAATTTTTGTCTGATTTTGATGAAATTTGGTTTAAAGGTGTAAAGCGGGATAAACTTGAATGAGTTCGCGAACCAGCATGATCGGACCATGGGAACGGGGCTTTACGGGGGGGTTTTATGGGGTAAAAATTGGTTTTTCACACTTTTGACCCTCAAAACACAAAATCCCCCAATTTCTCTTTGGACCTTTTTAAAGAGCTTAAAAAAACAATTAATTTAGTATATAAAAGTATATTTGTTCGGTTAATAGTAACGGAGAAAATTTAAAAAATTGTAAATTTAAAATTCCCATGTTATTCTTATGGAGAATATTGTCAAATGTTGTAGTTTGCTTGTTTATGGATATATTTTGTATTTTGATCAAATTTATTTATTTTGTACTAAGCTATCAATATTTTACAAAAAACACACTTTATTAGTTTCCTTGTAGCAGCAAACCTAGGTACTCGTTAAACCTAATGTTAAAATGATTAAGACGATGGTCATTAAAAGTAATTTTGAACTGCCATTTTGTTATTAATGCTCCGATTTCTGTTTTCTTTATGTTAATTGTTATGTTTCGTCAAGACCTGTAAAATGGTACCAAACTCGACCTTACTTGCTATTTAAAAATTTTGAGCAACCCCCTACCCCCACTGGAAGGGCAAAATTTTCAAAACTGACCATAATTATTATAGCCCTTCATATCCAAACAAGTTGCTGCAAACTGATTTCAAATATCTCAAACAGTTCAAAAGTTAAAGAGGGTGCAGGTTAATTTTTTTGCCACCCTCGTGGTTATTTGGATTTGAAACATTTTAGGGCGCCATTTTGTCATTAGTGGGCCGATTTTGGTTTTCTTTATGTCAACTTTTATGTTTCGTCAAGACCTGTAAAACGATACCAAACTCGACTATACTTGTCATTTGAAATTTTTGAGCTACCCCCTACCCCACTACCCCTAAGGGCAAAATTTTCAAAATTGACCATAATTATTGTAGCCCCTCATATCTAAAAAGGTTTCCGCAAACAGATTTAAAATATCTCAAATGGTTGAAAAGTTAAGGGGAGGGGTAAGTTACTTTTCAGCCACACCTTGTACAAACAACTATTTTATTATTAAAGTGATCAAACTTAAATAAGTTCTGCTAGCCAATGCAACATAAATCAAAGAGTTAACTCACATTTATGTGACATTGTGTTTTGCAAAATATTTTAAAATATTTTTACAAGTTATCTGGATTTGATCCTAACAATCAAAAGGTTACTGGTTTTGATCAGTAGCTTTATGATGGTTCGAAACTGGATCCAGCTGTTCCTGATCATTGGGTTTTTAAATAAATGATCCTGTGGCTAATGAAACAGCTGATCTTAGTCAATAACAATGCTACATAGATCTTTTTACACCATTCTTCACTCATCCTTCGCTCATATTCGGGTTAAAATAAAGACGCTCCTAGGTGGTGTCCTCAGCTCAACAATTGATAGTTAGATTTATTGTTAACAACTTTAACTTTGCTGAATATTATTTATAAAACTATAAAATTATTTAATAATGCATAACGTACAGGGTGGACTACTTAACTGTGCCCCCACTGGTATCTCAGTTAAACTATTAGATTTAAAGAAAACATTAAATGGAGAATTTTTAACTATTTTCTTATGACATTCATACTTGGTCCTAAACGAGTAAGTTTGGAGAGGAAATGCTAAGAGCAAATAAGAATTCAAATTGCATCTACATTCTAAAAAGATCATTCTAAAAAAGGATTCTATAAGAAATTTTAAAGCTAGACACCATATTTGAAAAAGTAGAATTAATGTCTTTGATCTTTTTAGAATTAATGCAATTTTAGGACTTAATTACTCTTAATTCTTCTTCCTTAAACTACTTGTTTAGGATTAACAAGATGTAGAATGTACACAGGAAGCCACTTTTTCCAAGGTGTAACAATATGTAGCTCCTATACATACAGAGCACATGTGCTTTGGAGAAAAATTTTAAGAATAAAAATGTTTCAAATTGCAATTACATTCTAAAACTATCTTAAAATACAAGGGGTTACATATAAAATTATAAAGTTAGCCGCCATATTGGAAAATGGTGGTCATTTTTAAAAAAGATGAATTTGTCAGGAAATTGTGATACCAACTAAAAAGTACACTTTTTCTTATGAATGGACCAGCAAAGTACCCGGGTGTCCTTCGTACGGGGTTGGCGTATAAGTATAAAAGACTTATTGCAGTTATACTCAGCTTTGCGTTTGCAATTGGAGAGGACACATTTTAAGAAGATTTGGTTTACTATATTTTACAGTATAAAATATAATATAGCACACCTACCATAGCCAATAATGTTCTACCACTACACCTAAACAAGAGATAAAAGTAAAGTTCTCACAGCTTTTTGTTGCCGCTTGTTTCAAATTAGCTGTTATCATAAATGCAAAAAGAATTAATAGTGCTCCACCCTGTTGGTAAGCCTTATAACGTTATAACCTTTTCACCACACTATGATGTTTTTGGCTGTATTACATACGTTAATTGGTGGCTGAATGTTATGTTTTGCTGGCCATGCCAGCTGTCATCGTAATTTGGGGACCGAGCAGGTTTTTACAGGCCGGGGCCGCAAAATCAGCTGTCCGCTTACTTACTTAAAACATTAATGCATTTTAAATACACAATCAAAATCCATAGCATTGCAATAGAATTGTGTTATTGTCACCGTTTCCTAGCAACTATTTCTTTTTATTTTTGCTGATTCCTCAAATTATTTCTTCACATAACCTTAAAGTTGTAGTTATGTTGACTATCAGTGTGCATTATTATTATAGTGGTGAATAGTGGTACCGGTAATAGCTTAAGTGTGGTGAAAAATAGCGTTCGTACCACGGACCGAAATGGTTTTGCAGCTCTCGCTCGATTTAAGTTCTCGACTTCGTCTCGAACTTAAAAACTATCTCGAGCCGGCAAAACCTCATTTTCGGCCCTAGGTACGAAATATACTATTTAATGCTGTTGAATAACAGGGTACCAACTTGTGTAGTTGAAACAGCTGGCAAAATTCTTTAACTCATTTTAAATATGAATACTCATAAGGTTATCATGGGACACTCTAGAGCCCCTTGGGTGGAGCCCAAAAGGATTTTTGAGTTAAGAATATGTCTATGTTAATCGGGAATGTGAGCTATCATATCATACCAAATTTCAACCCAACCCAAACAGTAGTTAATGTCTGATTGAACTTTAAACAAACAAACACAGCACACACTTTCACATTATAATATTAGTATGATACGCTTACCAGGTACAACCTGATAAGAGGTTAATATTGGATATTAATGGGTATTTTTAAGTGGGAGTCTCTGGTTTCTGAGGTAGATGAAAACTAAAAACTGCCACCATTTTGTATTGAGTTGAGACAGGGACCTCTAGTTTTTGCAGATATTCTTTTGAACTAATAGCCTTTGAAATGAGGAAATCTAGCCAGGTATGTACAGTAAATGGAAATTTGCTTAGTCTGCAGGTTTGCTGGGGCGGGGGTATTTTCTAAATCTATTAGTTTCTGAGATAGGCTATCAATGGTGACCCACAGTTAAGTTGTTCACTCTACATACTGCTGGGTAAGTTATTCTCAATGTCCAATGTAGGCTACCTTGTGCCAACAATTCCAAAGCATGATTGACACAATATTTTGACAGAACTATAGTACCACAGGTGGCACATTACACATTTCAATCTATTGTCATAGCAGTTGTCAAATACATTGAATACTCAACACACAACTTGATACATAACTTGACATGCAATGCAATATGAAAACAATTAAAATCTACTACAGGACATCATAACCAGAGTGAAGGGCAGACTCAAAACCATCCAAGTAAATGTTGATAAAACATAAATAGCCTATACTGGCCATATTTACTACAGCTTAAAGGCTATAATGGCTTTGTTTTCCGCAGTCACTACATGAGGCAGATTCTCGAGGCCCTCAGATATTGTCATGAGAACGACATTATCCACCGAGACATCAAGCCACACTGTGTGTTGTTGGCCAGCAAGGAGAACTCTGCACCTGTCAAGCTCGGGGGCTTCGGAGTCGCCATTCAACTTCAGGACGGGAAAGTTGTCAATGGAGGTAATTTGGTTGTTTGGTTGTTTTGGAAAATATTGTAGTGCATTTAAAATCTTCTAGAGTTGATGGTAAATGATTCTTGTGAATTTCCGTACAACATAAATATGAGTGTTTTGCTGGAAGCATACACCTACAATTATCTTTATTTAGGTTATATTAATTAATATGAGAATAAATATAGTCATAACACTAATAAAACAAAACTTTATAAGCAGTTGTTAGGATTAAAGTAATAATTGTATTTTCTGTTATTTTACCTGCAAAGGAAATTATTAATGGTCTTGATGACTACATACGAGAAAATGATAGCTTGTCTGAGCAGTAAGTGTTTTTTTTTTATTGCTGGAGACATTGTTTGAATATTTTTCAAGAAAGCTGAGCAAACCAGACTTGAGGCACTTAAATTATCTCTTAACATTTTGTTTGACCTATAAATTCCATTCCTTGTGCTGAAACTGAAAAACATTAAACTAGCCTATGAGCTTCTACAGGTTGAACAACATTACCGGTAGGCCTACTAATAATTGTCAACTGAAACACTGAAACCAATTAAATCTAAAAGAAACAAATGAGTATAGTTTGCAATAAATAATTATATTAAGTTTTGGTTTTGTAAGCCTAATTTGTCAAAGTTGCAACCACAAATAAAAATAATTGTATTCTTATTCATAACTTACAGAGTTTTTTAATGACACAAAAGTGCACCAACGTCTCAAAATTGTTGGACATTGCTATTTTACCTAACAGTGAAAACTTGGGTTTTTTTTAAATAATTAAATGTGTTCAAAGTATTTTTAATTTTTATTGCTGTTAACTGCTCTAGATTAAATAATTACTGACATTAACCATGGGATTAGTAGGTTAGATAGTATTTATCAGAAATGGAAGATAAATAGGCCTACACCAAAGTTAGCCTTCACACTAGATAAGTTCAAATAACTGTTATCAATTTTTTTACAAGAAGGTTAAATATACACTGTCATTCATTAATTCAGTTTGTGGCGTTAAAGGTTTTATTTTCTTTAACTTAAATGTTAACAAATAATTAATTTCTTTATTTAGTCAAAACATTTGTGGAAGTAAGAGAAAAAAACTCCTAAAGGCCCAATCATACGAGGAATAGTACTGTATTGTAGTATTGTGCCTACCAAGTGGAACAAGCTGGTAACCTTTTGCTATTGTTTTGCATTTGCTGTAAATGTCATTCCCTGGCATTTCTTGCCTTTGTTTGGAATATCAGTTAAAATTCTGTATATTTTTATGTAGCAATGTCAGATAATCAACATTCTACCTTACAATGTATTGCAAATGGAAACCGTGAATATATATTGAACTATTTATGTGTTGTCCGCAAGCTAATACTCTTGCAGCTCAAATACTTTAATTCAGTCATGCACAGCGACAGCATTGAGTATACACCTACTCAATGTAGGTGTATACTCAAATGCGACAGCTTGCAACATGGTTGCATCAAGTATTCTTCAGAATGTTTACCAGCAAACTTGAACATTTATTGGTTCAGATACTCTAACACCAAAGTGGCTTGTGCTAGGCTGGTACTTCAAATTGAAGATTTAGATGACAGTCTAGCTTCCTTGAAGTTACAAAACCATGTACGGCAAAGACAGAACAAGGATTTTACTCCTAAGTGTGATGTAATTGTAATCTAGGGGATAGGAAGGATGGAAGCATCATGGAATGCTGAACAAACTATAGTAGAAACCAGACAATGGAACAGTACTGTAGTTGTAGATAGTCCTAGGTAACCTATACAGCATGAGTGAGTTATTGTCATGGATGTTTCCAGTTAAACGTGATTGGAAATATGGTTGTCTGTTATATTTGAAGTTTCACATTATGGAGTGTCCCTAAGCACAAAAATGGTTACATTTTCTTAGCGTAACTTACCTGAGCTAGGTCATTACATTTTGGTTTGGTAATTAAAATGGTTGCAGCTAAAAAAATGGGTAGTAAAAGTGTTCAAATTAAATATTGGTTTTGTAGAACTATGATTTTTGTCATGATAAAAAAAACCTTATTCATATTTTATAACTTTTTTACAAAGAATTTGGTATAAGTCAGTGTTTTGAAATATTAATGTGATACATTGGTTGAAGAGTCTTCTTCACCCCTGCGAAAACAATAAAAACATGCCTTGGACGTCCCTCGCTCCAGAGGGCATGTGTAAAGATATAATGTTAAAACCTTTTTCCCTTACAGATTAATGTTGGTTCTAGGGCCCTCATACATGATATATCCAAGAAAATCAATAGTATAAGCACAAACAAATCTTAAAGTAATGTAAATTGAGTCACTTTTAAACACTTATAAAACTAATTATTTTTTTCATTTTCAACCTTTTGAGGTATAAGAGCTATAATATAACTATTCAACTACATTGATACCAAATTTCAAGAACATCTGTTGAAAAACGGCCTCCGAAACGGTGGATGAAATTAACATGTTTTGTCGGAGGCTACTAGCCTTTTACAAAACTTGGCTCAGGCGGCAGATGAATCACCGACGTGTCTATTTAATAGTTGTGTGTTTACAATGTTTTCATAACGGCGCGCATAATGACCCCGCGCTACCCTCCCGTCTACAACACCTTCCCCCCAAGGCCATATCCCCAATACGCAGGGTGATGAAGACTCTTAATTTGTAACAGTCCACAACAAAATCTCTCTGTTGAATGTTTATTTTTATATCTTTTCCTCTTTCCAATGTAAAATTGTTTAATACTTTTGTTACATGTTTAAAAACTTTGCATCTGTTTCAATCGAGTGTTTATTGATGTATTTGTTTGGACAGAGAGTTTTGTATCAATGTCTCGGCCCAATCTTAGCCCCCAAGGCCAGCTTTATCTCAGTTCCGATCGAGAGGGTAAGGCGCCGTAATGTGTGGTGATTTTTGTGTTTTTTTATTAACAAACTAAACGCTTGGTTTGAAACTTGTTAGTCCCTATCACCTAAATTGCAGTATTGTAGTTGTAAATGTAACCAACAAAAATCAATAATTCTAAAAAGAAATGCCCAAAACTTTCATAATGTTTTTATGATCAAAGTTAAGCGCTGTTTATACTGATAAAAAATTAAGTTTGATTTGTAGTAATAAAAGTCATCTAAAAAAATTAATTGTGATATAAATTATATATATATACCAAGGTACTTAACCTGTAGTTTTGTGATAAACCATTTTACATTTTGTTATTTTGATGGAACTTGTTACATAATAATTGTAGATTATAGCTAATCCATTTAGTTAAAGATGAAACCAAACATTTTGAAATCCAAGTTATTTTATCCAAGGTTTGGAACTCTTACAATAAATCCAGTTTCCAATTTAGCCTAGCTTTTTAAGAGATTGTATTCTCTCACTTATTCAAAAACTCATGAACCAAGAGAGATATGTAGCAATGATACATATTTTAATCGTAATTTTTAAAAAGTAAAACTGCGGATAAGGCAAGTCTTATCGGTCTTAAAAAATTAAAACTATGTGTATATTGTTTATGTTTAGTTGTAAATAGTTTTCCGTCTCTCTGTAGTAAAGACATAACTTAACTAATTAATCCTTATGAACATTTTATTTATATAAAAAAATTAAAAAATTACTTGGTGATGAATAGCAAGTTTTGAACCAGCACGTTCACCGATTTGTATCTAGCGAATTTTACTACTACTCACTGAGTGTTTCTCTTTTTAGCACCTAACTGTCTTTCACTCGATCACCTACCAGATTTGGAGAAAATAGAGGCAGCTGACAGTAATGGTATTCACTAACTTATTTCACTCTATGCTCAGCAAGCTTGGCATGGTTAGATCTTTATGATTTTTTTTTTAGTGAGCTTTATAGTTTTGTTTTTGCGTAGTCACGCTATATTTAGAGCAGTGTGGTAAATCTGTTAGTAAATAGATGATTTAGTACGTAATAGTACTTGCGATGGATATATTTTTGTTTAAAACACAGGTTTTTACTAGAATGAGTCGGTTCTCGATATCATCGATACTTGGACATTGGTATCAGTATGGAAAACCAATCGTCAAAAGTGGATTCCAATACCCAACACGTCTGCAAAGATCACGTGATCGGTAAACTACTGTTATTGCCGCAATCACCCAAGACAGATGACATTAGAACGCAGAATCGATGATGATGTCTATTGGGTCGCTAGAGATGATCAGAAATTTGTCGCGATCGGGGAAGACGATGATGATGATGACTACATGACTCTGGGAGATGCTCATGATTTTGTCGCGATCAGGCAAAATGAAGATGACGTTTTCATAAGCACAGGTATCGATGATGATGTTTATTCCACCTTATTATTACTGGAGATGATTAGAATTTTGCTGCGATCGTGGGAGATGTTCGTAACGTTTCCGTGACCATGGGAGACGATGATGGTGTTTCCCTTACCGCTGAGTGATAATTAGGTTTTTGCCTCAACAGCCAAATACAGTGATGATGTTTCCGTGGTTGAGGAAGACATTCAGATTTTAAGGAAGATATTCAGAAGACGTGGAAGATGTCTCCTCGACCACAGTAGATGATCATGATATTACCTCGAGTTCGATTTGACTGAAAATATCAGGCTGGCACACCTCTAGTTTTTGTTGTTGTTGTTAGATCTTCATTTACTCTTGATATGGTAGTTATTTAATACGTTTAGAAGGGTTTACTCTTAAATTGTCTGGTTAGAATTTTTCATGCTGCATTAATTCTTTTCTTTTGACAAACATACACCTCAAAAATACTTTATATGGAAGTACATAAAGACAGGGGTTGGTCTAGTACAACCAATTAATTTAGAAAATTTGGCAAAACCTAAAAAAATGGTATTGGTATCGAGCATTTAGATTTGACTTTTCAGTTATTGGTATCAAGAAGTGATAGATTTTGGTATCAACACATCACTAGTTTTTACCGAACTATAGGCCTACTACATGTAATATCAACGAAATCTGGAATGTTTTCTTCTAGGCATGTGCCTAGGGGCAGCACTGTTTGATGTTGATGGCGCCAAAGCATTGGGAGAATTTAGGGCGGGTCAAGAAAAAGCAGTTTAAAAAATTACTTATCTTCTCTCCTTATCTACATTTTAAATCGTAACAAGCGTGTGAAAGTATGTTTACCAATGAATGTACCATCGTCATTGAAGGGTTTGGAGAAGGAAAGAGAGGTTAGTTGGATCGGACGTTGGCTGACATCAAATGAATGGCAGTTAGAGATGGAAATTATACTTTTACATTACAATTAGCCTATAGTCAGGGATGTTTTTGCTTTTCCGTAGTAGGTGAAATAATACTATTATGGTTGTCTCCTATTACTTTCTTATCCAGTGTATTTCAGGTGGTCGCTGTCAAAAGAAAGACACAATCACGGAAACATTATCATTGTCATCCCCAATCGCGGCAAAATCCCAAATTTCCCCTGCGGTCCTATGGTGATTATCATAATCTCTCACGGTTATGAAAACGTTATTATCGTCTCAATTAGTATCATTGTAGGCCTACAGGGTGAGGCAATGAAAGCACCCCAATTTATAAGCTGTACAAACTCAATAATATTCACCCTATAGATATAAATAGCACATCAAAACACAGCTTATCTTTTGCAATTTTAACTTTACAAAGTCATTTTTCCATTTCTTGAGAACAAAATCCTGCAAGTGACGTCCTTGTCCTACATTCCTTTTAAGGCACTTGAAAACTCCATTAAATACTCCTCCAGCATTTCTTCAGGTTCACTTTAGTTTTTGGACGATTCTAAGCTTCAGTTCAAGCAAATCTGTGGGGCGACTTTGAAAAACCTCAAACTTAAAGTAATTGGAACAGCGCCATGTTGACCAAGGATGGAATGTGGTCCAAACAATCTCTGGGTTTTTGCACAAGAATCACTATTTTTTAAATAGGTTTCCACATCAAAATCTCAGTATTAATATTAATAGCCTCAGGCATAATATTTACTAAAATGGCATAGTTTATTGATGTTATAAGCACAGCTGACCATTCGTTGTTGCAACAATTAACATGTGACAGCTAAAACAAATTGTGGCGTTCTCATTGCCCCACCCTGTACAAGTATGTATCTGTTAATTCAAGTTTTGTCTGGGATTTTTTTTTGCAAAGTTTTTTTTGTTTGTTTCGTTTTAAAAACTATGAAACTCTTGATTGTCGTGTAGTACACAGTATAGTTCAGCGTACTCAAGTGTACACAACTCAAATACACTTTCAAGAAAAGGGACGTTTATCATTGATCACCAGTAGAAAACTTGATGTTTTCAACAAATATTTTCTTGAACTAAAATTTAAATTGTAACTAGCCAGAGTTCTTTAGTTCAGCGCTTAACATTTTAAAAAATAAAGAACGACAAAGGAATTATATCCAATTTACTCCTATGCTCTCAAAGTTAGTTTCATTTCAGTAAATGGCATGGTTTTTTATCAGTTTACCAACACTTGAAATAACTGTTTAGCACGGTATTTAAATGCAAATTTATTTTTGCTGCTTGTTGTGGACTGAAACATAGCCAAAGGCATACAATGTTAATTGAGTGCACTACTTATGATTTTGTATCATTGTGTTGAATTGGCATTAGCAATGTGACAATGGCAAATATGTTGTCACTGAACTGGAAATTAAAAAAGTGTCGAGATTTCAGAATCTAAAATTATTTCCTAAAACTTGAAGATAATACAGAAATAACTGCAAGGTGCGGTTTTCTCCAGAAATATCAACTGTTTTAGTAAACCCTAAAAATAATTTAATCCAGATTACAACCTAAATGCAGGTTAAATATAAGCAGTAAAAAACATACAAATAATGTATTATTTAATTTTTTCCAATAAGTGTCTACCTTTAATCAATGTTTTATTTGTTAATTAGTATTGAAACATTCACGGAAACCAAGTTTTCAGATTCGTATATGTTCAAATATTACGTTAACAAATGCTTGACTTTACCTGTACTAAGCCATTGAGAGTGAAAAATGTCCTTGAACCTTTTGAGTTGACTGTTAATTTATGATCCCCTAGACTCAAGGTATTCAAATCTGAATGCAATTTGATCCAAACTGATTACTGCACGTAAGTTGTATATTCTGCTGATGTCACGAATACTAGAAAAATACCGGTATGGATCATAAACATAAACAAATGACGTTTTTGGCCCGAAAATAAACATTATTTAACATTGCTTAAATGGAACTGCCAAAACATATGTTCAATGCTAATATAGGATTCGGGTCAACAACGTCATTTGTTTATGTTTATGATCCATACTGGTATTTTTCTAGTATTCGTGGCTGATGTATATAGAAGAACTAATTTCTCTTAAAAGCCTTTACCCTCTTAAGAGTATTGTTTATTTGTGCATTGTTTTTAAAACAATAACTGATCATCATACATACCTAACTTATGGAGTTCATAGTTTATAAAGTCTACCACAGGCTGAGGCTCTAGCCGGAACCAATTATCAGAAAGAATTAAGGAAGGGGAATTTTTTATGGTACGGATGAACTATCATAATTTTTCCTGGTATGTGAAAGAAAACCCCTTGTCAATTATAATTTTGTTGAGTTTTCTGGTTATTTGCATTTTGTAAACAATAATTTGTATCAGTTAGGATGTGAATGTTTTACAGTTTCACCAATTAAGTGTAATACAATTAATTCATGGAAATGTACAGGCCTCTGCACAACCTTCTTTAAGAAGCACATGATTTATTAAGTCATTGACACAATTTCACATAATTCACTAATGGTGGTGGATAATTATATATTGTGTTGTACAAGTTGTTTATTATTTCTTAGTAATGCTAAGTGGCAAGTGTACAGTAGACTACTGATTATTTATGATAATGAGTGTTTGAGTGATCGTCGATAACCGAAATCCTAGATAAAGCAAACCTTTCCTTAAGTGCCTGGGAAGTAACTGACATTGACTGAATGCAAGGTAGTAAAATAAATGTTAATGTGCACTGTAGATACCTTTTAAATTTGTTCCAAACTCTTTTTTTTACAAAACAAACAATATTGGAGAGCCTTTGTTCAGAAAAAAATTTAAACACACACAAAACCTTTTATCATCTTGTTGGTTGTAATCTGAGACTAGTCAGCAAAGTAAACTCTATAGTCTGACCACAAGATTGGCCTCCTAACGCTTAACATCTTGGTCATTGCTGTACAACGTATATAACTTGCAAAGTATATTTTTATTTAAAGTTTTTGCAACCGTGATTAATCTTCAATTCATGGACAATCGGGAGTCTACTGTTTATAACAATATAATCCTATATTGATTACGAATGCATTGAAACTACACCTATAACCCATTGCCGAATCAAATAAAATATAATCAAAAGTTCTTCATTTATTTCATGCACATTGGTACATATAAATAGTATTAATCAATTACATTTAAGATACATCAGTTTTCAAACCTTAACTATTTAACACAGTTTGTCCTCATATACAGTTCTGTTGTGAACAAAAGTGGAAAAACTTGTCTAAGAATAAATTGGTTTGTTTATTAATTTATTATTAATTCTTTGAGTTTGTTCTAAAATGTTTAATATTATTTTCAAACTTTATCTTTTTTGGTAAATACATAAAAACATTTCTTTCCCGAATACGTTGTTTTTTCTCGTAAATTTTTAATCTATAATGAGTTGAGATTATTTAATTTTTATGTCTTGTATTATACTTGTGGTGTTTGGAAGATTTAGAAATTAGTATGCAGTCATAGATGTGTTGTCCATAAACTGTGGGTATCTTAAGATTTACAAAGTGTTCCTCTTTCGCTGATTGATCATAATTTAGTTTAAGAATATTTTTTGTTCTGTTTTTTGTTGTTTTAAGATACTGTCCAAATTTATTTTCTGCGTTGCTTCAAAAAGACACAACCCAAAACTTATGTGTGAGTGAATATATGAAATATATTTTAGGAACATTTTAAAATACTAAAAACAGTTAGTGACTTTAAAACTTCAATTTTATACTATTATTTTTAATGTTTGTTGATTGTCAATATCATGAAACCCAGGTGGATCCAACTCTTGAAGCTAGAGAACGCAGAATATAAAAATGTGAAACAACTTGGCCTTGTTGAAATATCGTAAAACTGGTATAACTGAACAGTCATTGGGCAATCTACCTGAATTTAATGACCCAACAAAAAGGAAAATGAATACTTCTTGTGAACAAAAGTCAAAGTAGTTAAGGCCATTGGACATTCTACTTTTATTCAACCTAATTCAATCAATGAACAATTGGCTGTACTTTCTTAACACATTGACTGCGCGCGCCGACTTTACAGGCGCTCCCCAGGGGCGGGCGAATCCCCGGCGCGCAACCGAATCAGCGAACGCAATTGGCATTCAAATATTTCAGACTGACGAATCACAAATGAGCAGTGGTGACTGTGCTGCGTTACCCCGAGAGTGGATGTAGTTCACTGAAACACCCAAAGGTAGCAGAACTGCATGGATCCATATCCAGTGTCTTTGTAATGTGGGTTGAAGAGAAAAAATCCCCGAAACCGGGACAAAAGCATTGCCAGACAGGATTTTCGGGAAATTTTAGTACCAACCTACACCAAAGTAAAGCTCGCATTCTAAGCTGGCAGGCTGGCAATGATTATAACGTCTCCGTCTGAGGCTAAGCTCACACTGACTCAATATATTTCTGTTGGTCTGGTGCCGACTTTAGTCGGCGCGCGCCACCTGGGAGCGCTGGCGACGCCGACTAAAGTCGGCACGCGCGGTCAACGTGTTAAAATATTCCTATAAAACAGAAGGCTCCTCTTTTTATCCAATACTCCTACTTGAAATTTAATCAATTTATTTTTTTAAGACCATTAAATTTGAATACCGTAGTAGATAGATATTCCATCGACATGGACCAGCTATTGCCAGGTTTTACTAAAAAAGAACGTAATTGAATGAGGTGTCCCACAGAGTACACTAATGCCAAAATTATATTTTCCTCTCAACACATTCACATCAGGCCACTCAAGACTACGCACCTATCTGAGTGTGACGTGCTCATCTTTTTTCTTTTATAAATTTGGAGACATCAAAGACAATATAGGTCACAGAAAACTGTCCTTTCTGTTTGGCTTGGCTAGAAAAGTTGTGTATACAACTGCAATCAATAACTGACCGCAGCCCCGCAGCATACTGTCTGTGGCCTAATTCAACTATGTCAATTTTAATTCCAAAACTTGTTGCAACTATAACATGGGAATCAGATGACTTCTACTCTAAATAAATGTTTGTGCTGACAGGCAGGATCGGTACGCCGCACTTCATGTCTCCGGAGGTGGTGGAGCGGCAGCAGTACGGCAAACCTGTAGACATCTGGTCTGCTGGGGTGTTGCTGCACATGCTGTTGTCTGGCACATTACCCTTCCTGGGTACCAGGGACAGACTCTACCAGACCATTTGCAAGGGGAAACTACATGTGAGTTGGTCTGATACATTGTCAAGTTGGTGTATACACAATTTTCCATATTAACCATGGAGTACAGAGCGTTGATAAGCCATAAATTTTAAAAAGCAGTCTCAACAAAACCAGCTGTCCTGAAAAAAGGAGGACCCACACAATATGCTCCTTTACTTTACATGTTTTTACTCTACACGTTCACAGAGCAGTGAAGAGCGTCCATAAGCCATGTACTTTAAAAAGCAGTCTCAGCAGTCATCGTAAAAACATTTCAATCCGACTTTTTTCCTAGTGTGCATAGGCTGCACTCCATTCCCCGTTCAATGTGCAGAGTGTCCATAAGCTACCTATTTCAAATAGGAGTCCCAACATCATGCATTTCGAACAGTGCATATTCTAGCTGTCCTAAAAAAATTAGGACCCTTTAAACACTCCATAAGATAACATAAGACTTTCATAAACTTCCATAAGACTTTTTACTTTTTAGCATCTTTTTGTACGACTGTACTAATTTGGACCATATTCAAGTCAAATCGAACCCTTATCATTAAGTCAAGATCGTTAGAGAAAACAAAGCTAAAGAAATAAATAAAATTTACTTAGGCACTTAAACGAGTGTCGCAAGGACAGTTGATGCAACCCACATAACAACGAAAATGTGATTTTCCAACAATGTTAATAGGACAACCATCTTCCATAAAACCTTTACTGAATGGTGGGTGTAGACCAGATTCAGTATAGTCGGCACTCTATCTATTGTTAACTGGTACGGTACAATGATTTAAAAATTATTGTTAAGATCTAACTGCTGCAGAGTTTAAGTATAAGTACAGATTGGTGTTCTGAGTGTTGTATGTTTTCTCTTGTTCAGACACCTTGGGACTTTTAACCCAAAACCTTGCTGGGACCTGTTTTGATGTTCACAAAGAAAGCTGGTTATAAGCGCTTGTTGCCAAGCGCTTGCAAGTTCCAACTGGCGTGAGAAAAGTTTACATTGTATCAAGCGTGTGTGTTCACAGACAAAGCTTGCCCCGGCTAGCAAGCGCTTGCTACAAGTTCTGACAAGCACGCAAGAACGTTTTGTACTTGTTTTCCAGCTCTTGTTGACTGAACCAGTCGATGACAAAAACAACTGTGCTGTATGGATGTTGAAGAACTGATATCTCAAGTCTTAGGAAGAGGTTCTATATAGGACAAATGCCTCAACCTACATGCTAATAGACTTTCTTGAGGATGTAACTAAACGTGGTTATCTCTATCCTCATATAAGAAGAAAACCTCACTTTGTCCAATGTCAATTTAAGAAATAGATGGTAATCCGCAAACCTACCTCTTCCGCTTAATTGCATGAACACCAACTTTCCTTATTTTACGAATTTTTAATTTGACATTTTCAAGCAAAAATAACCGTTCATCACTTGATGAAGACAATTGTCTTAACAGTAAACTAGCTTGAAATGCAAGCTTTTGTTGTGTATACACAACAAGATTCTCAAGCACTTGTAGCAAGCGCTGAAAATAAGTTACTTGTAACCAGCTTTCTTTGTGAACTAAAAGCACCCTAAATTATGACTATCATGTGGATAAAAGAATGAAAAGGTCCTGCATTGCACATTGTTTTATATAGGGACAACATCGTATCTTTTATTGTTCTGTAACGTACAAGATTTTACCTGACCCGTCAATATACAGGGGGTTACGTACAATATTTTTCATGCCCCCACAATATACAGGACGGGGCGGGCGTAAATATGTTAAATAATCTACAATATATAAACTGGTTTGTTTTTAAGTGAACTGTTTTTATTGATTAGGTACAATAAAATACAGGATATTTTTATTTTGAAACACAACATAAACCTTTCACTCATCTTCTAACAGTAAGGTTCTTTTACATTTTACAAACAAAAGCTAGGTTAGGATAAAATTAAAAGTGAAAAAAACAATAACATTCAACCGCAAAGCTGATTTGCGTTAAACTCGTTGGCTCCATAGTGGTATATTTTATTAAGTCGAGCACTCAAAGTCATTTGAATAGGTTTCATTACTTCACCAAGTGAAGTAAAGAAATTGTTTACATCACGCTTGGGATAGGGAAGTTTAACATGGCGGGTTGGGTAAAGTAAGTTACAAGTACCAAGTGCACAAAAAATCTCTGCCATCACAGGATTTCAGTATTTACCATATCTAGGGATAAACACAAATTAATAAGGTAACCATGGTATTTTAATTTATAATAATGATATTTACATTAGGGACAATTGCAATAATATATCTGTGTGGTTATTACAGCTTGACACTCCATTGTGGGAATGCATCAGTGACAACGCCAAAGACTTGATTCGGAGAATGCTAGCTGTAGATCCAAATAAAAGGATAACAATACAAGAAGTGTTAAATCATAAATGGCTAAGGGTATGTTTCTACTTTTTTTCTTCTGGTTTTTGCTTTTGTGTGTATATTTATAAAATTTATGTTATTATTTATGCATTAGACTTTTCATCGATGTATGCATTGTACCTTCTTTGGAAATATTTTTGCTGATATTTTTGTTAATTTGCTTGTTTTACGCTTACAGTCCATAAAAATTGAATTGGCATTTTGCTTTTGTTTGTCTACAGTTTAATTCATTGTTGATCTAGTTGCATGTATTTGTATACGGTACAACAATCTAACAGCAAGGTTTGTTGTTTGTTTGAGCAGTTTAACCTGGTTTTGTAAAATGTATAAACATATAGTTTAGTATTATTTTTATAATTGTAAAAAAATAACATTTTAAAGGAAATAAAATTACTTCTTCTTCTTGGAGTAAAGTTTTTTTGATGGTTTAATTATATTGCATACACACATTGATGTTTGCATTATAATAATATCTAGATTTTTTGCCATTTTTTCAAACAAATGATTTGCTTTTGAAATTGTAACACAATATCAAATCCAATGGTCTATTAAAAATCTGGAAAATAATACCTCCCAACACTAATTGAAAACATATAACCTTTATACGTCCTATTCAAAATTGTAAAAGACGATCAGGATGAATATTTTACTTCAACCAAAAAGTTATAATTAGCCTACCACTTTTAACTATTAAACAGTTTTTTTATAATGCTGACGTTGAATTGGATATGTTGTTCTTTGAAAACAATGCAGATTCTTTATACTTCTTATTAATTCTTTTAGTTTTTATATGACATTTCTTTAATCTGACATATTTAAGTCTTTCTTAAGTTAAAAATAAACATAATAAAAAAACTACCTAGCAGGAAATGTATTAAACATTTTTTTTGTTCTTACAACTACTGTAGCTGGTAGGGCCTATAGTCTTAAATATATTTCATACTTTTATCTTTTATAATTTTAACATAAATGCTAGTAGCGTTGAAAATGAGTGTACATTTTGATGAAATAAAAAACATTTTTCACTATAGTTTTTATTCTATGCATCCTCATGTTCATATCCATTAAACCTTTTTAATGTTTGGATGGTTTTCAAAAATTGTATCCTCGGTAATGTGTTGGGTTAGAACTATAATGTTGGTAGTAAAAAACAGCTCTATTTAGTAGGATTTAATTGTGTATAACATTTGGATTGGAAAGATCCAAAGACCAAAACATAAAAAATGCAGGTATTTTTTTTATGGAAAAGTTAAACATAATTATAAGTAGTTGAAATAAAATTCTATAGTACACAAAGAATATTGCAGCATATTACTACTATAGTATATGTTACTACTATACATATTACTACTATACATATTACTACTATAGCATATATATACATACTAAAACTGTATACTTCAATCATTATACAGATCTCTCAGTGTTAACATTTTTATACCATTGATTAACAACATTTTACCTCTGTCTATTATTCTTTGTTTTCAATTTTGACATAATATTTCTTCTCCAGCTATAAAAGATCCCCAGTTTTTTTAAGAGATTTGTTTCTGATCTTGAATATTGGGGAATAAAAAAAATCCTACTCTCTGGTTTCTCATTTGAATATTTAGTCTAGATTATTGGCCTCACTTGGAGGATGCCAAGCGGATGCTTTTATTCTCACCAAAAGCATCCGTAAAAAATAAGCAATCAAAAACCATTATTCCGCCATGACTGAGTGAGACAATCATGATATTTCTGCGGCCAAATAAATGATCACAGTTTCTCCGCAACCACAGCAGACATTCATGGTTTTGCCGGTATCAAATGTGAGGAGGATATGTCTCAACAAACGCAGAAGAAATTCACGATTTTGATGGAACGGTAGACAACTACGCAATCACAAACGATGTTCACTACTTCACTTTTCACATAGTAATTTAACAATTCCTTTGCCACCGGGTAAGATGTGAACAATTTCAACACAGCCGCAGGTGACACTCACGATGTAGTTAGTTTTCAATTTATTTTTGTGTTAAATATTTTGCCACAAATATATAAGTCGTTTAAGCCAACTATAGTAAGGTAGGCAATTAGAATTAATAAGTTTTAAATCAATATTTTCCTGATCAATAGCAACCTGATTTTCAACCGACCTGATTTTAACCTTTGGTCAAAACCAAAAGGTTACATTTTTTCAACTAACCCTAAGTAAAAGTGTTTGGTCAGCAGACTCCTAATAATAATAATAAAAGAAACATAAAATGGATTTATTGATTAGCTTGTCCCCTAGTATATTCGCCAATCGGCTCAGTATGACCGCAAAGTGTCAACTTCATTGAGTCGAATAAATAAATACCTTGTATATTTCTCCAACAACCTAAGAATCTTAATGGAAGGGCCTCTCTGGTGTGAGCCATAGATCCTGAATATTTTCCTGGTTGTCTCTGCATCCAGTGATTTGCATTTAGTGTTGTCTAAAGAAACATTCACTTCTATTGAGATCCACCTCAGCAGAGCAAGGTTACTTATCAATACCAAATATATTAAATCTTCACTGCAAACCATCCCTATCAATTTGGGTGCTATATTGATATAGCAAAATACAATAAACAAACCAGTTAAGTAAGGGAGCAAATCAATTTAAGATAACCATTATTTTGGTTGATCAAAGGTGGAATTTAAAGGCTATGTTTAGTTAAAGAGATCTACAAACAGTAGTTTTATTTTTATTTAAGGCTATTTTAACCCATTGGCCTATTAATATTTAGGTACCATGCAGTCACTGAGTTAGCCTATTCAAATTAGCCAAATTGCAAGGGTTTATTTATAAATACATAAAACAAAACATTTATTTTTGAGGTTACAAGATAGCAAGTTAACTTATGTTTATTTACTCAAAATAAAATTGCCTTCCATAATGATTTTTTAAATATAGTAAAAACTAAATAAATTATTAGTTGCAAAAAAAATTTTAAAAAAATTATATTTTCTGATAGCATGACAATTTTATTCACCTAAAAAGCCAATATATATTTTTTTCACCTAACATGTATTTAGAATACAATTCCCTACGTAAAAATACTAAAAAAATTAAAATGGATAAATAAATAAAAATGTTACATATGTTTTTTGTAAAGTACGCTACTACAAATTGGAAAACCCTATTTTTTTTTAAACTAGCATAAATGAAGGGCTTTCTTTATAAATTTATAAAACATTTCTTTTTGAAGTTACAAGATAGCAAGTTATGTTTACTTACTCAAAATATAATTGCCTTTAGTAATTATTTCATTTAAATAAAAAGTAAAAAAATAATATTAAAAAAATAAATTTATATTTTTTGAAAGCATGATAGTTTTATTTAGAAAAAAAAACCAGTATATATATATATATATTCTTTTGCACCTAACATGTATTTTAGAATACAATTCCCTATACAAAACAAATAAAAGTAGATAAAAAATAAAAATGCAACATAGGTTTTTGTAAAATACCAAAAATTATGAAAATATGAATTTAATTGTTTTACCCTAGGCCAATAAGATGTAATTAATTGTATTTTTTAACAACCAACCTTAGAAATTATTTAAAAAAATAAATAAATAACCAATTTAAGTGGTATTGTATTCATTACGGAAATGTTCCGGTTTCGTGATACAAGGTCAATGGGTCAATTGCTGGTACCACCTTAAAACTACAACCATACAAACTAAACATATTTCTTAAAATGAGTGACAGTTGTTTTCTGAACTTAGATTTATTGCAATGTGAGATCCATGCCGTCGCTCCATTTCATTCCATAGGCCAATTACTCTGCTACGGCATATAGAGTAGTATAAATTTTTTTGCCATGAAAATATATTTTTAGGCCTATTTCCTTTTTAGCTATATTGATTATTATTTCCCTCCTCCCCCATTCTAAACTGCCAGTTGTATCTCACGGTGAGTTTCAAGCTAATATCCAGAGAGTAAATAAGCTGGGTTGTTGACATCCAACTCTTGTTCTAACCAATTCCTCCAACATCATCAATACTCAACCTCACTATCACTTGTGTACAAGCAACTATGAGACTAAACTTGGATAGTTTACAATTTCAAAATTTGGTGAGTCGAATCCAAAGTCACTGGCGGAGTCAAATTTTTCCAGACTTTGTTTATTGTTTGATGAGCTGCTGTTAATCATCCAGATTTTAGCTTGTATGTGAAGTTGAGCCATTAAGGCCCGTCCAAACCGAAGTGGGAAAGCGGCGGGAGCGGGAAGGTGGCGGGACGAATTTCAGCACGGGATTTTAAAACACATGGTGTTAGATGTGAGCACCCACACTAGAGCGGTATCGCTCCCGCCGTCCCGCAGCGTTGTTCGATCGTCCCACCGGTTTGAAAAATGTTGGATTTTCCCGCTCGTACCGACGCGGGAACACATGGGTACATGGCTCAGGATGTTAAGAGTTGTTATTTTTTAGCCCCCTCAGTATAAAATTATTAAAATTTAAAGTAGTATTGGATAGTAGATAACCCCTTTTGAAACCGCTTTTCATCTTTCCTTAGATTCGGCATAAGGGTATGGTGGTATTTCGCCAAATAAATGTCTATTTAGATTAATGTCATGAACCCAATAAGATCGCCGTCTTGCAGCTTCATCTTCATCCTCAGCTGTTGCTAGCAAGAGCAAAGCTTCTTCTTCTTTTACATTACGATTCATGAAATGAACGCATAAAACACAAACATTCACTTAACACAATCAATCTGTAGCTAAGATGAAAATGAACTGAGGAGTCGTCCCGCTTCCCGCTGTCTGCAGCTTCGGTGTGGGCTACCTCTTTCCCGCCACGTATCGCTGCCGCCGGTTCCCGCCGGTCACTCACCCCCTTCCCGCTCCCGCGCCGCTCCCGCGCCGCTCCCGCGCCGCTCCCGCGCCGCTCCCGCGCCGCTCCCGCCACTTTCCCGCTTCGGTTTGGACGAGCCTTTATGCTTGATATAACAGGCCATTTTGTAAATATACACATTGGAACTGTCTATAGCATAGTTTTGAGTAGGACTTGATCTGACTGCACCACTACCAGTAAGTTAGGCAGATTTTTCAAAGAAAGCACAAAAACAGGTTGGTACAGTTACTTTACAAACTTGTATGTACAAACTATAAAATGTTCATGACGTTTACACACCACACAAGTAGCAAAGTAACAACTAGTACACTAAGTATTGACTTAGTGTACTAGTTGTTACTTTGCTACTACCACAAGTCCTACAAATACATTGTTTTCAGTAGCTCTGATAATAGGACTTCTCAGTAAACTCTCGTCAATATGTTATTCAAACTAGTTAATTTCTTTTGACATGGAGAAATTAAAGTATGTACCGCATTCCTCTTCCAGTTTCACTTGGTGAGTAATGTGTTTCAAACAACGAAATTGTCTTTTAACAGTCTGTTCACTTCAATTTATTTTCTAATGTTTTCTTTGTAGTCTGTTATTGAAATAAGAATGTAGAAATGATTGTAGCTTGCAAAGGATATGTTGTTACGATAGGCATTGTAGGCAAGTAAGCTATACTAAGAAAAGAAAGAAGAGTATTTAAAGTGTTGTAAGGACGGACTCATTTGCACTTGCAAAGATTTCAAGAACACAGGAATTCTAGTTGTAAATGTGAGGAGGGGATGCACAATATATCTTCAATATCTGTTTTTTATAAAAAATTGTGTGTGTTTTTACGCCAGTGGCATTTTTTACGTTTTGAAAGGACCAAAACCTGGTCTTGTTACTACCTAACCTCAGTTATTTGGCCTAACTGTTCTTCTTTTACTATAGCACAGTCTATTTTTGGTTGTTTTAATTTTTTCCAATGATGAATTAATTTAATTTTGTAAGGTTTAGGTCTGAATTTAGCTTATTGCTAAGCCTTAGTGTATTCAAAAACGTAAAAGAAATTTTTACTTTATTTTAAAAACTTATCCTTAGATAGTCTTCATGAATAACTAGCTATCACGAATACTAGAAAAATACCGGTATGGATCATAAACATAAACAAATGACGTTTTTGGCCCGAAAGTAAACATTATTTGACATTGTTTAAATGGAACTGTCAATGTTATTAGTATAGCCAAGTTAATGTTATTAGTATAGGATTCAGGTCAAAAACGTAATTTGTTTATGTTTATGATCCATACCGGTATTTTTCTATTTCTAGTATTCGTGCTAGCTATGCATGTCTGTTTTTCTGGTCTGGATTGAATAGTAATAGTAGTACTGTATACCGGATTAACTTTAGACTAATTGTTATTATTTAGCATGTTAACAAGTGAGTTCATGTAGCCAAGTGGTTCAAGAACTCATTTATGACCATTGATCATTGATGATCATTATTTTGGTTTTGAGGTAAATTTTAAAAAGTTGGTCAAGATTCCAGCTCATATTGATTATTGAGCTAATTATCATTACAAGAACAAGATTATTTTGATCAGCAACTGAACTATCATATTATTCCTTCTAGAATATTCATCCTTCACTTATCTGCTCTAAAAACTATGAATTGGTATGTTGTTTATCCTACATTCACATTGTTAATCAAAGGATAATGTAAAAAAAAGTTTGCTGTATATATAAATTGTCTTGGATATCTTCTACTAAGCCACTGCTATCTACCAAGCCTATAGTTTTAATTAAATAAAAAATACTTAAATAACTTTGCAAACGATTCAAAGAAGAGAAGGACAGGATCTAAGTTATAAGTAGTGTTTAACAATCAAATGTTCATGATGTAGGTAGATACATTGTAGCTGGGTAACTTAGTGGTTATAGTGATTGCCTAGTAATTAAAGGTCATCAGCTCAATACCATAAAAAGGCAGAACCATTTTGATTATTTGAAATTGAACCCAGCTGTCTTTGATCATTGGGTTTCAGTAAATGGTCCTGGTTACATATCCTGCTGATCTTAATTGTTGACAAAGCTATCATCTCATCCTTTACTCATCTTTGCATTACCACATGGACTGCTGAAAATGCTTATAATTGTGTTCCAAATATGCTACATGCACAAAATGAAACAATCACAAATTCCGTAATAGTCGACATTTGAACTCGCAATGAAGTGGTGGAAACTGTCCTTCCTGCACTAAGTGATACAAACCTCACACGTAAATGCTGTCAACTCACACTGAAGCAATGAAATACGAGTCGGGTAGGGCCGCAGAGGCGGAGTGTAGGCGGTGTTTTATTAATCCAAGCCAATTTTGTAACACCATCAGTTGATGACTACTCTTATTCAGTTTTCATACCGTTAAGCTATTCTAGGTAGCTGCAAAACATCTAAGCTAAAAGAAAATAATCTAATCCCTTGGTTGTTTACAGGACAGAGACAAAGGGGCGTCTAAGGTCCATCTAGTGGACACAGTTGAGGAGATGAAGAAGTACAACGGACGACGGAGACTCAAGGGAGCTGTCATGGCTGCTGTCGCCTCCCCCAAGTGGGCGACAGACCCGGGTGACCCTGACCACTTCTCAGACTACGGAGACGACGAGATCTCATCTGCAGGTAAGAGAGCTTCTCTCAGGACTTTTCCTTTTTACAATTGAGTGTTAGACTTAGTTCACACAGAGTTTACATACAGCTATTGCGATTGCTATTATAACCGAGGATTCCCGTATCAAAATAATTCCAAATTAATTGATATAAACAAATTGAATTGATTTTTATTTATAGATATTGGTGCATGGTTATCATATTCAGTGATGGCGGCGATATCACAGAAACTTTCTGCGATCAGGAGAATAAAATACAGCTTAGATCAATCTTCTGACTTGGTGCTTCATCACTCAAGCTTTTAGCAGCTAGTATCTTAACCCAGTCAGGAGTCGTAATCACATCTTCTGACCTGACTGGGCTATGTCAAATTCCTTGGCAAAACTCAAGACAACATTGTGGTGTCTTTACATTGTTCCATTTGTCTCTGAGTACTACTACGATGCACAGCAAAGTCACCAAGGTTCCGCCTGTACGCAGCCTAAGACCGTAGATCTTTATCAAGGCCATGAAAAATAATATGCAAATATGACCATTGAATTTAATTTTCAAGTTGGAGACCTTGTCTATTTGCCAATGACAAAGCCTAGTGTTTTCCTAAGACACTTTGTCCTTAACGTTAGGGCCTCTGTTGCTACTATCAACATTCACTTTGATTGGACATTGCCTTCCATCCTTTCCCCAGTGCTTGTAATGTTTTGTTATCCATTCACCAATATCACTAAATTTGTTTTAAGGAGAGCTTCTATACTATTTAGATATTCCTTTTCCTAGAAGATGTGATAGGCTCTTTACATCTGTCTACAAATTTCCTTTTTTCGGTTACCACACAATATTTTTCAGGGAATGTAGTAGTGTGATCTTGTAGTAGTAGGCCTACGGTAATATAAAAATATTTATTTTTGAAGTATTATAAGTGGTTGTTTATTTTATATCTGTATTTGTTTATTGTTAGTTGTGTAGCAAAGGATAGTGTTTGTTAAACCTCTGAACTGTAAAATCTCTCTTATTAATTTACAAGAAACATTAGTTTACAATTTACGTTGATAGTGGACAAACCAACAACTTGATTTTTAGAAGGAAAAAAATACATAGCCTTAGTCCACCAATCTGTTTAGATTACTAGAATTGTTAAAAGTCAGTGTTTTGTTTTAAAATCATTAATGCTTAATACCATAACATATTTTTTGTCATACTGCAGCAAAAACAGCCGTTTTTAATGCATGTGTACTAAAGTAATATTTTTGCTCTCTAGGGAGTAAAAATCAGCTGTCGTAAACAGTTTTAAATTTCAAATGTGGCAATCGTATCGATCAAAATTATTTATCGATTGATTTATTAGGTAAGGTGTTAGCCTATTGTTGTCGATCGCTCAAGATATCGATGGTATAATGTACTGTAACGCAATCGTAATAGCCGAAATGATTGAATCACTTACTAAACAGCCGCTTACTGCATTGGCAGAATTGAAAACAAGCTGGAAGTTGTTTTGAGAGGTTATCTTTACATACAAATTATTTAGTTTCCTAGCTTAATTTGTTAATTAATGACGCAATATGACGAAAAATATAGTTCACCTCTCAGGCAAAAATAGTGTTTTTGACCCTCGCTGATTTTCCAACCTCGGCTTCGCCTCGATCGTAACACTTGACCTTGGGTCAAAAAGAGTCAATTTAGGCCCTAGTGATGAAATAATATTCTACAGATTTAGCTAAAAATAAGTTTGTATATTTACCTACATAAAGATATTTTTATAGGTTAGTTTTGTTTTGGGTTTGTTTTATATTACAAAGGTATTTCATACAGGAAAGCATTAGTAGTTTACACAATGATCACGTTAAGACTATTTACAAGAGTTGTGTACACTACTTTACGATAGTTTTTAATTACTAACAATCACTAAGTTTACTCATAACTTTGATGATAGGTAATGTTTTAGTTTATAATCTCTCATTGCCACTGACAGTCATGCAATGAATCATTGTACCAAACACTAATTGCACCACTCATTAACAATTAAATTGGCCTGAACAGCTGATTAGTTGAAGTTCGAAGCTTTGCAATTTTACTTATTTTTTCTCAATCCTCAAACCTCATTGGTCCGTTACCTCTGTTGTTAAGTAAAAAAAAGCAATGTTGTAAAGTAAGTAAACAATGCTGTTAAGTGAATCTTTTCTAAGAATCAATTCTAAGAACTGAACTGAAACGGCTAGTTTAAAAAATGGTCATAGTTAAACAATATTATGTAAGACTAAATTACTTACGTAATTCCCGTCACAGCTCAAAAAAATATGTCTATTCAGGACATGTTTCGGTGTTAAAACACCATCGTCAGCTTCAGGTACATAATGTAGAGTTGATCAGTTGTTAACATCGTCAGAAGATAAACACAGTACAAACACGAATAAATACATAAAACAATTAAACATTTAAAAAACAGGTCTGTTCTAACAAAGATGACCAACCGCACAGGTAGCAAGGGACAGACTAGACCAGCTTATGCTTATCCGTTGTGTGAGAGAGAAAGAGATATTGGGCAAGGATCAGCTGTTGTAGGATGGACTATTGATGAGTGAATTAAAAATGGTGTGAGAACTGAACTGCAGTTTTTCGTTTAATATATTCTAATTTTATTGAGCTGTGACGGGAATTACGTAAGTAATTTAGTCTTACATTATGTCCAACAGCTCAGGGGCTACACAAACGGATAAAAAAAAACAATATTAAAAGCACATTTGAACATAATAAATAATTTTCTCCTGCTCTTGTAATGACAAGATTATTAATTTGGCTTACCGACCGTATTAAAATGCAGGAAATCTCCAAGATTATGACTTCTGTTTGGATTTATGAAACAGTTTGGCACAAATGCCATTAAAAAATATCTATAACATGTTTTACTTCAATCTCAATCTTTATACAATCATATATTATTTTTTTCTACAAAGTAAAAATTTATGTTTTTTATTCATGGTTTTAACATAAAAAAAAAATAGCAACACATTATTTTAGAAAACAATTTTTTCCTGGAGGTTTTTAAATTTTATTTGTAAAGGCAAAGCTAATTGGAAAACAGAATTAAATTACGATTCCTTCTCCTACTAAAAAATTGTCACACAGATTTTATTTGCTAACAGATGTGTCACCACTTCAATACCACATGTGTTTCACACATGTGATCATGTATCTTCATTCATAGTCTGTGTTTCGGTTGTGTTTCTCAAGACAAGGTTTGTGTTTCTTTTGACCATATAATCCTTAGCATTATACATCTTGGTTTTAAACGTTTGACTCTGCATTTACATCAATTGTGTGCTATCAACTAGTGTTTCAATTTCAATTGTCTTTCACAGGATGTTGTTTGTGTTTCATTTGATCCTTAGCACTGTACTATTGTACATTTTGGTGTTAAATGTTTGACTATGCATTCACATCCATTGTGTTTCAACTGTGTTTTACAGTAGTTTACTTGTGTTTCAGCTGTCAATATGATCATCGATTCCTTGGACGACATTCACTGTCTTCAGGAACCTCCCTTAGACGATCGGGATTTTCTGCAGGCCGTCTTGGAAGATAGACAACTTCATGCTCTTTTGGAGGTGAGTACAGGAATATATTTAAATTTTGTACAAAATAGCTAACTGTCAAATTTTATTTTGCATGCATATCTATATCAAGTACTAGCTTGCAGGGCAAACAGTTGAAAAAGGTCAAGATTAATACAAAACCAACCATAGGATGTCCCATGCAAAAGTTGCCATTTTTTTAGCGAATTTCCCTATAGGAAGTTAACTATTACCGTAGGTCTCATGGTAAGATCTAGACCTGGGATGATCGGACTTTTGGAACAGGGGTTTTATAGGGTAAAAATGGGGTTTTCCCATTTTTCACCCTGTAAAAAAAATTACAATTTCTTTTCAAACCATTTTGTATAGCTCAAAAAAATAAATAATTTAGTATATTGAAGCATTGTTGTATGTCTAGCGGTTACAAAAAAAAAACCCAAAAAAGTGTAAATTTAAAATTACCATGTTATTCTTATAGAGAATAAATAAACTGTTGTAGCTTTGCTTGTCTATGGACATATTTTAATGAAATTTTGAAATTTTGTTTACTTCATAATAAGCTGTCAATATTTCAATAAAAACCTCCCTATTTTCTCCCCTGTGGCAGCAAAACCTAAGTACTCATCAAAATTAACGGTATTTAAATAGGAAATAAATCTGACAATTTTAAGGGAATAATATAGTGGAATTCCAACCAAGTAGATGGAAATTCGCTTAGTCTGCAGGTTCACTGTGGTAGGGGTATTATTAATATAAATATACCACACGTACAGTATTAAAAGATGAAAACTTCAAAACTACAACAAACACATAATGTATAAAAAACCAAAAAACTATAATAAATTGTAAACAAAAGTTACCAAGATGAATTAAAACATATAAAGATCGTTATTTTAAACTCTTTCCTTAAAAAGTCGAGCAGTAAAATAATTAGCATATCCTTTTCTATTAAGACTCAAGTACAGAGCCTCGATTTGTATTATACAGCAATGGTCTTACTTATTTCTATGGTCTAATTATCTCTACTAATCTTACTTATTTCCTATAATCAATGACAAAATGAGAGTAAATAAAATAGCCTCATAGCTCTATAGAATATTTTAATATTTAACCAGATGTAACAAAAATTGCTTTAAAAATAATTTGAACATTAAAGTATTTTATTGTATATTTAATTAGTCTGTCATCCTCTTACAGTAGAATTGAATGTAGTAATGATTAGAATTACGCATAGTATAAATAAGTCAACCTTAAATATGTCTTTTCATTTTCATGCAAATGTTGAATTTGTGTCACAAACGTTGAATGTTTACAGCTGTTATGTTAAGCCAATTATTTTATACCAAAAGCTAGTTTACAGTCGGGACCACGTAAGTTTGCAGTTGAGGGAGGAGCCTATTTACCATATGGTTTTGAATGAACCAATGAGAACCGTGCGGTGTTGCCAAATCTAATAATACCAGCTGATTTCAAAATATTGCTTAGTATATTTTAATTAGAGTTGTCAACGGGCGATGTGGCAACGTCGCACTAGCCTTTTCTTGTGATTGGCTGCCACCAACTGCAAACTTACGTGGTCCCGACTGTAGAATGTAAGCGTCGGCTGCTAGACATTTTAAAAATTGAAACTTAATTTCTAAAAAACTTAAACCCTAAACTAAAATTTTATGGCTTCGACATTCCCTAGTTCTCAAAATTATCTTTCTTTCAACACAAATTTGTGAAAATCCGTCAAGTGGTTGATTCAGAATCGTGAAATAAAAAAACCCTGTCATGTTTTAATATATATGATGATTCTACCTGATTTACTAGTACCCTCTGGTGAGATGGTCCTGAACTTTATCTATTTTCTATTTTTCTTGGCTTTAAATTTTTACATTACATGGGAAGTCTATTTTGTGTATCAATGGTATAAATTGACAAATAACCAGAAGCTATTGAAATCTCATGTTAATTTTAAACTAAATGCCTAGGCACCCAATCAAATCAAATATCTTTATTATACTAGTGCACCTGCTGCTCGAGTTCGAGCAAATTTTTTGCAAAGTATTACAGGCGTTATTTTAAAACAAATAACTAATAACATAATTTCAGATGACTTAAAAGAGTCAACTCAAAGATAATGTAATCAATCACACCACTCCAGTTATCGAAACTGAAATCGAACTCACTCTGAAAACAAACGCTCTTGTGTGTACCATATGTTTAGGCCTACTATGAACAGCTGTTTTAGTATGCAATCAATACAAATTATTCGTCTGTTTAAGTAAACTAATTCTTTTCTTCATTCAAGAAATACATTGGGATTTTGATGGCCTGTGGGGCAAAGCCCAAGGACGTTTATTACAGGAATTGGTGAAAGGAGGCGTCCACTTAAAAAAATAATTAATTTTGACACATCGTTTGTAAAAATCCGTTCATTATTAACGGAGCAGTAGTGTTTCGTAGAAATCGCGTTCACATATTATATATAAGGATTAAATTAAATCAACTGAAAATATTTATACATATTTAATACGCTATGCATATTTTTGTCATAATAATTGTTTTGGAGCGGCGGTGCTACCGATCACCATGTACAAGGTGTTGTTAGAAAGGTCTTAGCATGTAGTTTTGCCATCAAACAAAAAAACTTTGGAATTCCATCAGGGCTCTGCCCCAGTGGCCTCCAAAGTTCCCATGTTATTCTTAGGGAGAAAATGTTTGTTTACATTTGAACAGATGAATACTTATTGACACTAGTATTTGAAACAGCTGGTTATATTAAATTTGGAGACGTGCTATACGGATTTATTAGATTAGTTGAAAAGATTGATGTTTCACTGTTTTAAACCAGTTTTTATTTGCACAAAATCAAAACATAACAAAAAAAAAAAACGTTTGACATAATGGAGACGATAAGACGTCGACCAGGACAGCCAATAGGAGGAGGCTGCTTTGAGTCGAATCTTTTAAAGTAATCAGAAATTATGACTGTTATTCATTTTAAAATAACGCATGTAATACTTAGCAATTGCTCGAATTTGATCTACAGGTACACTAGTTAATTCATTAAATCAAATGACAAAGTTAACTGATTAGGCTAGTGTGAAAACTTGACAGTTCAAATAAAACTTGAATGATCGGGTTTAGTTCAGTAATTAATAATTAAGTTTGGTTGTATTTTGATTGCAAAACGATTTGATTAATTCCCAGCCAAGTGTCAATCAGTTAGGTGTAATTGTTTGTAATTATTTTAAACTGTTTGAATGACACATTTCTGCCACAAGTTTGGTGACAATTTCTAAAATGAATGGACCACTGTGTTACTTAACCAGTACACAATTTATTTCACCCATCCCACTCATATTTAATTATCTTTGATTTAAATATGCCAGTTTCCCCCTCCATCTTAATTATTGATGATGAATTATTGCCTCAAAAATTGGTGTTCTATACACTCACAAAAAGAATAGTTTCCTAGAGTTAACTTTGCTCTATTGTTCTTTGTTAAAACTTGTGTTTTTTTATTTGTGTGATTCTACGCCAGTGGCTTTTTAATTGCCTCCAACCAGGATCAGTTTAGCCATAACATGTCTTCATTCTTCTTTAATGTCATGGAAGTATTTCCAGACAACAGCCACCCACTGGGGGGGGTTCTTTGATTTTCAAATATTCTCGGTCAAAGTGAAGCTCTTAAAGTGCTTTTCTAATTTTCTTATGTGACACATTCCTTTGTTTAAAAAAAATTGGTAGAGCTAGAAACTCAAGCATTAATTTCTAAGTTGGTACTAAAATTATGTTTTCTTATTTTTTATGCTGTTTATGATCGATCACATAATTATCCTCATTGTCTCTTGTTATAAAAATAACAAAAGCTATTTCATCATTGCATCATACTCCATTTAACACACAAATTCAACTAAATATTATATTTTAGGTTAAATTTTTTGCCTCTTACTGTAGAAAGTTAAAGCTGCTAGCAAATTTGTGTCCAACCCTTTCCTAAAAAATTCGGTAATGCTTACAATATGAGGCTACTGTACTGTAGTCATGAAATAAAACTTTAAACCTCTCATTCTTTTCTTTTACACTCTATAAGAAAACATATGTTGTGACATGTTACAACTTGTGGTGATGATTGTGTGGCAGTACCATAAGTTATATAGATAATTTAGTTCTTAAAGGAATATAATTCTGACAAACAGGCTAATACACCATAGTTTATTTTCATTATCGGTATAAAATTGAAATAGTTACTATCAAGTAACGCTGTCGTGTTCCATGCTGTTAACAAGGAATAAACATTTGCAAACTCTTAATGATTCAATATCTTGGAGACCAAACAAGGAGTTCGAGTACAACTTAGCTGATTGTTCCTAGACAACGATTTAACTTGAACTGAAATAACATTGTCTCATACTGTCAGATTCAGGCCACAATTAATTAATTGCTGCACAGACCATTTAAACGATTCCTTACATGCATGTAACACTGGGTAGGTTTTAAGTTTGTTTCTAATTATGGAAATAATCAGTTGCAATAATTCATTAGCAAATAATTCTAAGATGTTTGGTTAAAGACTGATTTCATCTCAAGACACCAATCATATTAAATTTAAGTCAGAAAACCTTTTTCAAATGACATGCAAATATGTGAAACGTAAAATTACTATTTCATCACTTAAAAGTTTAAGATTTGACCATGGTTACAATTTCGTGAATAACAATTTCATTCCCATGTTGATGTTTTAGCCGATGAAAAACCACATTTTGGTTTGGTAGAGCCACTGGCAGAGTGTGCTGTTGTTTGATGTTTTTTTCTTTTTTTTTGTAGGCCTACTAACTAACTTTTTAAAATAAATGAGTAACTTATTGTGAACCATTGCTTCTTTCATCCCCTTCAGCTATAATGGAATGAAAAGCTGAAAGAAAAAATATAACTTTTGGTATTAAGACTATCATAGTTAAAAATACCCCCGCCGCAGCAAACCTGCAGACTAAGCGAATTTCCATTTGTCTGAATGGATTTACACTAAAATGTCTCCTTAAAAA